AGTTTTTCTTATTCATTCTGGAAATTACATATGCAAGTTTGCTGAATTTCAAAAATGAGAGAGATAAAAAATAATTATGTTCACTGTACACCGTCTAATTACAAGTCATATACATGCTAACAGTAATTACACACAACGCGGACGTGGTGGTGATTTCCCGTAATTCAGAAAGGACAACATATAAATAACCCGTCGGGCACAGCTAATAGAGGTACTCCATTGGCAGCATATTCAGGAATGATTTTCTCACACAGCAAATATCACCGATTTTATATACATGCAGACCAATACACACAATCATCCAGATGCGATCCTGCTATTCAACCAACTTTTTTCACAGAGGTGAAAACTATAGTCTACTCGTCTTCACAAAACGTGCAACCCACAATGCGTGTAGTTGAACCATTCCTCCATAGATGGACGCTCACAACGATCCTAGTGAGCGAATGTGGAATGTCTGTTTGCACCCTAAAAAACTACCTAGTCTGCAAGATGACATTTTATAGGTTTTTTACATAATGGATGGCGTGTACCATGTCGATAAACTTAAAAATCGCCCTGTATAGGGCAATGACAGCGGCTGTCCCGTAATTTCAATCCAGAAAATTGTTGAGACGAAAAGCGAGATAACTGAGATATTTACTATGTAAACTGAGCCAGGGTGGTCAGGAAATGGCGCTTCCACCATGGCAATCGAGACCTAGTCGAGGGAGCAGACCGTAGAGGAGTTGAGAGTCGAATTGAAGATGGTTCGACAGGAGCTGTCAAAAAAGGACGATGATAAGAAGACCATTGAAAGATTTATGATGATCATCGAAGCCCAGCAGCGGACAATTAACGACCTAACAGATAAATTAGACCTCCTACTGAAAACCCAGGTACCTTCCCGCCTAAAAACTACACATTGTTCCCAAACACTCCAACAAAATGCCTGTAAAGACAAAGCTGTCAATCTTAAGAGACCGTTAAATAATTCAAGCGATCATTCCACTGACGACGATACACTCCCTGACGGCTTTGTCACGGGTTAAGCCCCGTAAAACGCGTCGAAACAAGGACGACATGACAGGATTTCCTCCTCTCCCGCCACCAAAATCGCAGTCTGAAACGTCTCGTTCAACTGGTATCAGAAGACACGACTGCACATCCCCGACGCAAGGAACGTGTTACCCCCATCATTCTACGAAATGCTTCGAGATGGCGAGGCGTAAATCACAAGTTTATTTCTTTGGGCATCAAATTCGAACGCGCGGTTGCCTTCGACGCAGGAATCAGGATAATTCCCAAGTCCGAGGATGATTACCGCAGGATTATTCGTCTCTTCAGGGAGGAAGAGGTGCCCCACCACACTTTCCTTCTACCCTCGGAGAGGAACATTCATGCTGTAATCAGAGGACTACCTGCGACACTTTCGGAAACGGAGATCAAGGAAGAATTGCAACAGAGGGGATATGCCCCCCTGCACATAATTCGCCTGAAACGCGGTACTGCCCAAGATAGATAGAAAAATCTCAGCGGCTGTTCTGCGAACATGAGCTTTGGCTATCCGAGTCGAAGTTCAAAAGAACTCACGACTCATCGGGCAGTGTCACCGCTACCAGAAATATGGGTATGCGCAATCTTACTGCACTGCACCACCTAAGTGTCTAAAAAACAGAACAAGAGGAACGAAAGTGCGGGGCACCCAGCGAATAGCTGAACGCAATGTAAGTTACGCGGATGCAGCTAGAGATGCAATCCGGACCTGGCAACCGCGCTAAGGTCCTTACAGCAGATCATAAGTTCTCTGATTAGCGCAACACAGGCTTTGCAGGCGATCTTTCCTGCAAATGGCTAGGTACAATAGACGACAGCCTGTATTTATCAAAATTCTTTTTTGGAATTGTTTGGGTCTAAGGGACATTACCAAAAAACGGGAATTTCATCAAGCTCTTGTGGACGAAACTATAGATGTGGCCTTGCTGCAGGAAACATTACTTAATCGTCTAGCTTTCCTGAATTACGATGTTATCCGAGCTGATAGATTGACTGGACGGGGTGGTGGCTTGGCAGTGCTAGTGAATCGCGGTATTGACTACCACAGAAGCACAAACGCTGAGATGCAGAGAATCGAAGCGGTTTCCGTGGTGGTCAACATGACGGGAGGTGTGCCGTTAAAAATCCCATCGGTGTATGTCAGGTGTGGTATCAGGCTGCAAGAGGCGGATTTGAAAGTCCTTTTAGACTGCTCGGGCCCACTTCAGGTCGCTCCTCCGAGAGTTCCCCAATATTTCGATCATAGATGATGAGAACGGTATAGATGCGGCTCAAGCGGAGTGGACAAGTTTTGTTCAGTAAGCTCTGCAGCGTGCAGCTGTACTTCCCGTGCAGCGACACGGCAGAGCTTTTCTGCCAGCAGACATTCGTCAGAAAATTTCTGATAAAAGGGCTGCAATTAAGCAAGCGGAAAGATCTTGTCATCCTGATGACATTCGCAGAACGACGAATCTGGTTCATGAAGTAAGAAATGCTCTTCATGAATTCCGCAATGAGCAATGGAACGACTTCCTGGCGGGGATTCTTGACTCGAGCATTCCTCTCTGGCTGATGCCATGGAAAGACAGTTCTCTCCCAGCTATGATCTTGATAATGACCTCGACGAGGAGCAACACATCGTAAGATCTGTCAGGGGCAACGGCGTCAGTGACAGTCGCGCTACCGTTGGTGATTTTCTTCATCAGAAGATTCTTTTTCAGAAGCTTCTTCAACCGAATATCTGCTTAGCACATCAGTGGAATCTCCCGAGATCCCGCATTGCACACCAGCAGAGATTCAAGGTCATATTAAAGACCTTAAAGTGCGCAAAGCACCTGGGGAGGATCAGATCACTAATAAGGCGCTGAAGCTGCTTTCGCGGAAGTCCTTAGCTTATCTCGTGGCAATAGTCAATGCCATGATAAGGACCCAGTACTTCCCATCCGCGTGGAAGACCGCTTAAGTTATAATGATTCCAAAGAAGATGGGTTCGATATTTCCCCAGGATTATCGTCCCATTAGCCTGCTATCAGCTCCGTCTGAGCTCGCTGAAAAGGTGATTCTACGTCACCTTGAGAATTTCTCATCAGATCACCATGTGATTCCTGACGTACAATTCGGTTTTTGGTCTGAACATAGTACGGAGCTACAGGCGGATACACCCTTAACGAAAGTACTGGCATCTTGCTTTTAGATGTCTCAAAAGCATTTGACAAAATGTGGCACTCCTGTATAAACTAATCCAAAAGGGCTTCCCTTTTTGGCTTCTAAAACTCCTGAAATCCTTCCTTGAAGGTAGGAAATTTCGTATCAAAAGTGACAATGTCCTGTCAACATTACGGCTGATTACAGCCGGCGTTCCTCAGGGTTCGGTCCTTTACTCACTGTACATCCATGACGTCCCTGGCCCCAGCAACTGTGAAGTCTATCTCTATGCTGACGATACTGCATTGGTGGCTCCGTCGAGGTCTGGTGACCTAGTCCATGACAGGCTGCAAAGTGCAGTGGGGGAAGTATTAGACTGGGCGGATTGGTGGCTAATTAAAATTAACCATTCGAAAACGCAGGCAATCTACTGTACAAAAAGTCGTCGCGGCGTTCCATCTGAAGTTTCAATGAATGGACTTCGTGGGAATCTTCCGCTAAGTATCTCGGTGTCATTCTAGATAAAGAGGTGACTTGGCGGAATCATATAGAAGCGCTAAAAACTAAATTCCAAATTACGTTTACCCATTATTATGTGAACGTTCAAAATTAAGTTTAACAAGATTCGACTCTATAAGGTGGTCATAAGACCAGCAATCTCTTACACATGTGCGGCTTGGTGTTTTATTGCCAAAACACACAGGCGAAATCTGGAGGTTCTGCAAAGAAGGACGTTACGCACTATTGCTGACGCCCCATGGTATGCCTTTAACGAAACTCTTCATAGAGTCCTCGATGTCCCTTCCCTAAAGGACTACATTAAGCAACAGGCGCAGCGACGCTATAGCCTAGCGGAATCGCACAGCAACCCTCTGTTGCGCGAGTCAGTGGACTACACAGTCAAGCAAGTTCGCAAGCACAAATAGCCGCGGCTCGCACTGTAATCAACAATAATTCTTGAACTTAGAAGAACCAAAATTGCAGCATTTTGACAAAATCTTTAGAAAAAATCAGACCATATCAAAAGCTGTGAAGTGATTTTAACAATGCCTAAACGCTGCCTATCCTAAAAGATTTTATTCTTCCCCTTTGCTCTCGTTCTTCTTTCTCTCCTCTCCTTCCCTTTTTTCCTTTAAATTGACAGACTTACAAACTGACACTGTGACTCAAGAGCTAAGGTCCCACGGACCGCTCTGACAACCAACGATGACTTGACTTGTCGATAAACTTAAAAAATGAATTATGACTTGAATTGAATACGTACGTATATTACTTAGCAGTCATCCAATTACTTGTAGCATCTCACAAACCATGTGGACGCTTTGTTTTGAGTTCGCATAACAAGCTCGCGGTTCCGAACGGTAAATGGCCGTAGCCTTGTTCGATCCCGAACATCGATTAGGTCGATGTAGTCAATAGAACAACTGATTACAGGGCTAAAACTGACAACACAGTTACACTTTCAAAGCAATGGGAGTGAATAATGACTAGTTTATTCTTTGATGCGCTCTAATATACCGACTAAATACAATTTACTCCACGATTTGTTCCATTGGAGGTAACGCTAATATGGGAGGCCATCATGGCGGAAGCAATGTTTTCATTTGATTCAGAGAAATACTTATTGATTAGCTGGTTCTTTGTAGTTACGAATACTATGGAAAAGGAGATATATTTATTTATTTTTAAGTAGACTATATAACTATATCTCTATAATCTTTTAAGCCCTCCCCACGATCAATACCTGGCCTGAGTTATTGTAGTCTAAGGACCTGCTGCCTCAACTACGTTGTTCAAAAAATCTTTTGGAACATCCATACTTACTTTAAATTTTGTTACAGGAGAAAATGGAAAGATTGAATATTCCATATCATCAGGCAATGAAAACGGCGACTTCGAAATTACGAAAAACGGAACAATATTCACAAAGAGGCATCTGGACAGAGAAAATCAAAGTTTGTACAACTTGCTTGTTATTGCTACTGATAAGGCGCCTATTCCAGAAGACAGGTTATCATCATCAGTTCAGGTAAATAATTATCAACAGGTTTTATTCGGCATAAATGCTTTGTTAGTTTTTCATATGGTTTATTGCGAAGTACAATTGATCTTTTTTACTAGTGCAATCTCTATCTATAGCTTAGGCCCGTATCGTCAGTCGTCCCTACAATAAATTGTAGGAGCGTTTATGGCCTCCTTGATTTCGATAACATTACATCTTCTTCGTTAACGTACATGTATGTCCTGCTTTACATTTCCGACATACTGACAGTATTGGCTTGAGGTTATGTTGTTGTTTTGACGTTCAATGGAAAGCAGAACCATAATTTATAATTTTCTTGCAAATAATGTCGATCACTCAAAAATGCCTCGCTACATTCAACAAATTCCTCAACCTGTGGTATCTTCAAGAAATTGTTGAGTTAGGAAAATTAATGCACATGGATATATTATAATATTATATTTGTGTGTATGAAAGTCCAGAAGCTTACAACCAAGCTGTTCTCTTGATGAAGGTTGGTAAGTTACAAAACAAATCATTGCATATCCATATTATATACTTATCGCATTATTTTCAGGTGTAATTCATTCTCACAGACTTTATGAGATGGTTCCTCCATGGATAAGAAACATTGTGTGGCAAGTGCAATTCTTGCATTGTCGATTTCTGAGATGCTTTTTCACAAATCATTGTGCGATTCTAGATTGTGTAGAGTGTCAGGCACAAAGGCTAAAGGCACAAGAAAATATCCTTCGGCATTTGATTCATCTGTCAAAAATTTCGTCAAAAAAGAAACATAACCTAACATCACAATTGACTTCTGATTGACAGCAGACTAGAAATGTAAAGCAGGACATACATGTACCTTACCGAAGAAGACGTAATATTATCGAAATCAAGGAGGCCATAAACGCGACCTACAATTATTGTAGGGACGACTGACGATATGGGCCTTAATCATTTGTATTCATAAAATGGATATAGGGTCTGGCAGAGGTATGGAAGGCATAAAGTGCCACGTCCGAATGCTAAAACATGGTATCTAAGTCCGCGTCTATTTTATTATTGGTATATTAACCAACTTGTACAAACCGCGTACTTTTAGGTTTGTAACAGGGAGTTCTATTTTCTTTGTCTGTGAGTGTATATTCCCAGTTTTTCTTCGAGGCGAGAGGAAAGTCTAACAATAACTGAGGATGTATTCGTCTTCATTAAACAAGTATACCACTTCATACTCGAATAGACTCGTTAACCTCTGCAAGCAAACTTGCACTTAACCGGTTATGTTTATTTTGACTAGTCATCAAGTATACCTACAGCAAACATTGCTTGACACCTCAAAAGATTGTTTGCTGGTACGAGAGATTTGCTTACTTATTATGAAAACATAAAATGTTGCCTTAACTTTTATGAATAATCGTTATTTATTGATTAAAAATGAATTTTGGAATATTTTCTGTTTACCATATGTGGAAAAGTATAAAATCGCATAAGTTGGTCGGTTTAATCATCCTAATATCTAATAATGTTTTATTATTATGCGGTATGTTGTAACAATTAAAAAAAGTAAACTATCGTCCACAGTACTGCACAATCATAAAATTACTCTAAACAGTAGAAGTGCATCGAAAATATAGTACATGAAGCCTGCGATATAACTTCTGAAAAAAAGATTCATCAAAGTTTTGCATTTGCAAGCGTATGACTTTTGACAAACCAAAAACTAAATGAAATTCAACATCCTAACCCACCCCCCTCCCTCCCACGGTCAAACAAAGACGTCTTACATCTCCCTCAAAATGTCTAAGAAGGTTCAAAAAATGTCAAAAGAGCATCAGAGCAATCTTTACTTTATTTGAAAATTTTCCCACCACTACACTAGTATTTGGAAACTACACAGATATTACCTATTTCCAAAACGGCAAGTTACAAAGAATTAGACAGACGAAAATAAATGCCAAACTCTTTTTTTTTCGTGATTACAAAACTTTCCTTGCCAACCGGAAAGTAAAACTACATTATTACCAGCTAATACAATATCCACAAAATATCACCCAGAGGTGGAGTAAAAAATTCAAAAACATTTTCAATACTTTACTATGGAGGATTGCTGAAAAGCATGAAACAAATATGTATACGGTTAGTTATGATTACAGACATTGAAAGCAAACACGTTTACTACAGATCTCCAAGCTGTAATATTACCCGATTTTTGGACTTTTTTGAGTGTTTGAGAAAAACAGTATTATCGAAGTTGCTCCACTGTGCACTTGGAAGACTTCAATATAAATTTTGATAATCAAGATTTTTATGTAAAAAAATTTAAACAAGTCAAACATGGTCTATGGCAAAAAGTTAATGACTACACAAGGATTAAAAACTTTTCACGAACTAAGATCGATTTAATAATAACCAATGAACAGAATTTGAGTATTAAGGTTTTACATACTCCAAAAAGAAGCGACCATTCGTGGATATGTTTCGAGGTGGAAAATATGTTTAATGAGAGAGAATCAAGAGAAACCACAATTACTGACTTTGAAACGTTACGAGAGTCACTCCTACAAACCAATATCACTGAAATTTTTAATGATGCTGACACTTCAAAAATTATAGATTGAATGGAGAACTGCATGAGAGACGCACAAATTAGGAAGTGGTAGATCAAAGGAAAAAGCCAACACTCTGGTTTTCACAAACATTTCTAGACTCTAAATAGACTCGTGATAATGACTATAAAAAGTTTATGATCACTCAAACTGAGGAAGATTGGATACAATATAAGAAATCAAGAAACAAGTGTTTAACAAATCTGAGGAACGAAAAGAAAAAATATTATGAAAACAAAATCGATAGCAATAAAAATAACAGTAAAATGATGTCAAGACTCTAAAAAATATTGTATCTCCCAGTAGGAAGAATGAATTATCAAGAATGTGCTTCGAAGATGGTATAGTAACACAAAAAATATTGATTGCAGAACGAATGAACGCTTATTTTATAGAAAGTATAAATGAGATATGCAATCAATCGAAGATGGGGATCCAAATCTATGTCACATGCAAGTTACTTGTAATTCTTCTATAAGAAAATTCCAAACAATAAATATCAGCTATCTTTCAAAAGCTATTACAAGATTGAAATCGAATAGAAATCCTAGTGAACATCTTTCAAAAATGGTTATGAAGGAATGTTTCAACATTATTGGAGAGAAGTTATTATTGTTAGTGAATCACTGTTTAGTGTATGGGGAGTTTCCTTCAAAATTAAAATGTTCTACAATTACTCCTGTTCCAAAAGTGCAATATTCGGAGTTATATACAAACAATTAATTACTGCCAGATGTCGAGAAGCTATTAGAAGGAATCATATATGAACAAGTCATTCATTATATTGAAGAAAATAAGATATTGACAAAAATTTCAAATGCACATCTGAAATTTATCCTAAGGCTTTCATGTTGATATAATTTCATGTTTCTCTGACCAAATGAAGCCATATACGAAATTACTCTTTACTAACGTTTCGGTCACCACTAAGGAAATATATGATTATTTTTTCCAAACCGTTTGGTAAGCTGTACATTTTTTACTTCCAGGTTTTTTATGGTTTGTTATTTGATCCCAATCTGTTGTGTCTTAAAGTCTTTTCTCATATTATGACAAGCAATGTGGTGCCCTTGAGGTGTCGTAGTACGATTTGCGGCATCTCAAATCCATGGGCAATAACAGTCAACCAATGAGTTACGACAACAGTTCTGGGTGGATCTTTGCATTCTCGTTTTGCACTGTCGGACTGGTTAACGCGTCTGGTACATCCAAAACAACTATAACCTCATACTCGCTTGTCTCTATGGGGAGCTGGACGTCCTTTGGGAGCCTACCTCAGGCATAAAATTGTAATGATGGCTTCGCGTGATCTTGGCGTGGTACAGGATTGTCCTTGCTGTTTTTGCAACACACCTTATAGTTTGAAAAAAACGAACTGTCGTCTGGAAAACTGATAAATTAGAATAAATTGTTCTTGTTTGATCTGTGCTTTGAAAAAGACCACCATGGTGGCCGTAGCAGCAGAAAGGGCAATTTCAACATATACAATTTTATTTGGCCAAAGAAACTTTGAGATCTGCAAAGAATTGGTCTTTCACCCAGAGGTTTATTCGGGCAAGCCGTTTTTTTTTTGAAGTCTGAAAACGCTACTAATGGGTAATTAGTATTACTTATAAACCCTATTGAAAGATACTATCTTTTAGGTTGCCGAAGTTGAAGCTCAAATCTTCCTTCGGTGACCCCGAAGAACATTTTAGGCTTAGTTTTATCTAAAGCATTGTTAGTTGTTACTTACGCCATGTGCACTACGCGTGTTCCCCTAGAATGTACCAGAATATTTTTCTCTCAATTGCGCGGTGTTCGCCCCATCTACTTTAGCTACAGTAGTAATAATGACAATACGTGTACATTTGATTTATCATTATCATTGTACTGTAGATCACATTTTTGATTGAAACGTTTATAGTAAAAAAGATTATGTCAATACATGTTTTATGGGCCAGACCAAGCATAGGGGATTACAGTAGTGATATCAACCTTTAATTGTTTACAGGTGACAATAGTTCTGAAGGACGTGAACGACATGTCCCCCGAATTCATCACGCCCAACGAAACGACTGTGGCTGAAAATATCCCTATCAACACTGTGGTGATGGCCATAAAAGCTGTCGACAAAGATGAAGGAAGAAACGGTTACATCGAGTACTCCCTGTCGGATGATCCGGTTATCAATGGAATTTTTTCACTGGGTCCTGTTGATGGTCTTCTCAAAGTTGCTGGAAGGATTGATAGGGAGACGACTAGTAACTATACGCTAATAGTACATGGTAAGTAATAGGTAATAAGATATGCTTAGCCACTAAAATTAGGATCAGACTGAAAAAGTGAAGTCGTACGAGGTGAATCGTAAACGAGGGAAAACAGCGAAAAAGTCAATCTGATCGGGATAGTTTCAGGGGCAGTGAACCACTGGCCCTTTCGACGCTCGCCACTGGAATCTCGGAAACGGTGAGAAAGTCGCTTAAATGGGGGTAAAGTTACGTACTTATAGCCAACAAAATGCCGCTTAGAAAGCTTTGAAATTCAAAGTACTAACGTTTAAATTTTTTCCTGAATTTATTTCTGGTAGGAGTTAAAAATTAATTACACGTTATCATTGCCACAATGCATAAATAGAATTTCAATATGGCGTTTTGTCTCTGGTCCTCCAGCACCAACTTTATTTTTTTATGGATACCATATTGAATCTATTCACAGATAAATAGAGCTTTTGATTCTGATTCCAAAAATGTATAATATGTTATACATTGCGATTGTCAAGCCTTATTTATTCCAGAAAACGGAATTTCCTAGGTAGGCATTAAAATCATCAAGAAATCTTGAATTAAATATTTTACTTTGCCGTCTTTTGTAGAGCAGAAAAAGTGACAATTGCAATATGCAATTAATTTTGAAATCCCATCTCAAACAAAGTCAGGAAAAAATAAAAATGATTTTGCGATAAATGTAGCTTACCTAGGAAATTCTGTTTTTCTTTTTTAAGAGCTTAGTTTCGGCAATGTAAGATAACATACATTTTTGGAATCAGAATTAAAAACTCTATTCATCTGTGCAAAAATTCAATATGGCGTCTATAAGAAAAAATAAAGTTGATGCTGGAGAACCTATGACGAAACGTCATATTGAGATTCTAATTATACCAGCTTGTAGAGCAGAATGAGTGGCAATGTTAATATGCAATTTATTTTGTCATCCCGCTGAAATTAAAGTCAGAGATAAATTAAAACGATTTTGAGAAAATTACGCAATTTTTCCATCTCTCTTCGAAAGTACTTTTGAATTTCGAAACTTTCTACGCGGCATTCTGTTGGCTATATGCAGTGTTGCCCCCATCTCAGCGTCTGGGTATCTCTTACAGTTTCCAAGATCCCCATGGTGCAGAAAATTCGATGCCGTGCTGTAGTCATTAACATATTAGTATTCTTTTTTTTATACTTGACCTGCAACGCAGGCCTGAAGCCTAAACACTCATGGGTACTGTGGGGCTATGGACGTACACAATGGAAATGGGGATCACACGGACTCTAGCGGGATAATCATGAGCATGTGACATCCACACATTCCGCACCCACCTTAGAGATCCGCCGGGTGGTACCTCCACGCTCGACGTTCTGAGACCGTATACCACCCATGGACAATCACAAAATCTATATCCAAGATAAAAATTCTTTTTGGGATTTGAACCTACGGCGACTAGTTGGTAGACCGACAGCCTAACCAGTACGCCACCGCATCGGGCTACATATATCCATATTCTCCCATTATTCCGCTTACACCCAACTCATATTGTATATTAAGAGAAAATTGAAGTGTGTGTTGTATTAGATAATAAAACCTTCGATATGCTTGGCTTAAAAGGTTACTTCTTCTCATTCGATGTAAAGCAATAGTAGGTTCAGGACTCAATCTACAATTAAGCTGCCGCAGAAAAAATCGCCTCTGGAAATTCCGTTTGGTTGATGCAACGGCTTTCGCAAAAGATCCCGCTATTTCTTAGAAAAATATGGTATCTTGTAGATCTCGGCATACAGAATAAAAGTGGCCGTGATGCCAAAGTTTTTCGACGAGTAGTTTCCAAGATACAAGGCCTCCAATGTGTGCAGCGTATTGTGGGTTACAATACGATATGTAATAGCTGTTTATTGTTTATTTACATTCTAATTAGTTCTCAAAAACACATAATTAATGGTTCCTTGACACGTCACTATATTTTTGAATTTCACTATTTCTAACTTGTTTCCTCGAAAAAGTCGACAAAGCGCAGACATATTTAGGCTTACCCAAATATGTAATTAAAAATATCTATAAATAATAACCTTGAATGCAACTCAGAAATAAAACACCTTCTATAATTCTAAACATTTTTGAATCTATTCCCACATGGACGGTACAGGAAAACCCTGAGCATATTTGAAAAGTTTGTGTCTCGGAGCAATACTCTAGCCATACAATTTTGGGCCATCCTGTACATGTGACAGAATGGTAATTTTAGTGACCTAGCTTGTGGGGATGATCAACGTAAATAAATATCAATTTATTTCATATCGTATACTAACCCCACAATACACTGTACTAGAGTTAGACGTCCAGCTTGGAAGCCCTATATCTCGGGAACTACGAGTACTCATGGAGAAATTTTGGATCGATTTGTTCTACGTGATGAGATCTATAACATAGTATAGTCTCTCGGTTCTCTCCAAACCATGGGTACCGCAAAGGACATTTTACGATTGTCGCCTCTTAACCGACCTGGTAAGAACGTTACACAAGTCTTACGACATATATGAGGGGCCCATAGTTTATCTTGGTCGCCAACTTTAATTCCAAAATAAAATTCGTATGCTTTCAACACAAGTGGAGTAAAAGTACGTTTTTGGGATTTAAAAGTTAGCTCTCCGCACACATAACAAAAACTGTTCGCACTATTTACACAATTTCTAGGCATCGTCCATAAGCCTAGTCTCGATCACAATAAACTAAAAACAACACACCGTTTTAACAAAAATTAATAGTACTCAGAACATCTCAGTACTCTAAAACACAGAAAACATAACTGACTCGGGCTGCTATTAGTCTACTAAGAAACGCAATATGCTCTCTAAGCATAGAGCTCACATAAACAGGAATAGACAGGTCTCAACATTATAAATGTGCGTCATCGCATAAACGCCGAGAAATGCAGCAATATGAGATGTTACGTATTGTAATTCATAAAAGTAGATGTTACCGAATATCTGTGGGTGATAGAAAAATTCTGTTTAGATTTGATTTAATGGTCTCAAAATACATAAGATACACCCAAAAATTGTCACAAATCCTGTGTTTATTAGTGTTATAAATAACTGACCCTGTTCGATCCTATTATTGATTAGCCAATATTTATTTGATATAAATACTTTTTACTATTAGTAGGAAAGCATATCTGCATGTCATAAGCATGCATAAATATATTGATATATTTAATTAAATTACTATTATTATCGATTAAAAACACATTAATCGACGCCAAATATGGAAACTGCTTTTTTTATAAGAGTATAAAGATATAGAGAAGGTGTGTTGATTGAAAGTGTTTCTTGGAAATCGATTATTCTATTGTTTATAGAGATGAATGCTGTGTGTGGGAAGACGATGTAATGCGTTTTCTAAACGACTACAATAAAAACAAATCACCCTACATGCATATATCGTTTTGCATATGTAATTATTGTTAGTCTGGTCAATTGAGGCAGAATGTTTTAAAACTAGTTGACATTTCAGTGATTCAGATAGTGACTAAATATACTCTGAAGAAATAGCTATTCTCACTCAAACTGAAGAGTTCTAAGATAGGATAAAGTGAGTTATCGATTGCTGAACAAAAATTAGGAACAAAGCATTGGTTCATCCAACTACCGATACTATCAAAATAACAGTTCGCGAAGAATACCTTGCCAAATTCTGTGTATGCTCCTGCTTTTTGGTATCAATAATTATTTTCTTTATTACAGCTAAAGACAGAGGCGATCCACCCAAATCGACACAAGCGAAGATCTTTGTAAGGGTCTTGGATGAAAACGACAACAGCCCAGTGTTTGATCCTAAGCTGTACAGTGCCTCAATATCCGAAAATGCCTCAATTGGCGCTAGCGTATTGCAGGTAGGATTAGGTCCTCAGTAAAATCTATTATGTTTGAATGCCTGTTATTGTGTAATTAATCACTTTGATAATACAGGGTCCGTCAGAAAGAACGCATGTTTGTCGAAAGGGCGTGTTGGATAGTGGGAGAAGTGCCGTTTCAGTTGGGACGATGGTTTGGAATGTTGAGCATCGTGTGTTCACTGTACGTCGGTACTTTCAAAATGGCGAGTCTATCGGTCGAACGCAACGTTTCGCGTTCACTTTCGTGTTCCACGTCGTGGGACAGTACCAGACCGTAACACCATTTTGAGATAGGTGGAAGCATTCAACACAACAGGTAATGTGATAAAGAAAAACCGCCAGAGCGAAACCGTACTGAGAGAACCCCCGAAAACGTAGGCAGAGTGAGAGTTGACACGCTGCAAAGCCCGAATCGTTCCTTCCGTTTGCGTGCCAGTTCCCTAGGGATCCACGCGTCCTCTGTACATCGCTTCTTGAAGAAGGATTTAGTGTTCCATCCTTACAAAATCCAAGTTTGTCAACAACTGTTGCCAGGGGGCAACGTGTTAATTTTGCACAGCTCATGATTGAACAGCTGGATAACAATGTCATGACGTTGTTTATGAGTGATGAAGCACATTTTCATTTACATGGATACGTCAATAAACAAAATTGTCGATATTGGCCTCCAGTGAATCCACAACAGTTGCATGAACACCCCCTGCATACCCCGAAAGTTACAGTTTGGTGTGCAGTCGGCCCAACGGTGATTATTGGCACTTATTTTTTGAGGATGATGGAGAAACAACTACTGTTTTTTTCCGGAACTGCGACGTCGACGTGTCCGTCTCACACAGCTCGCACTTCGATGGAACTTCTTCAGCAAAAATTCCCAGGATATCTCATTTCACGTCATGGCGATATTCCATGACCCCCTCGCTCCCCAGACCTGTACAACGTGTGATTTTTTTTATGGGGCTACCTGAAATCAAAAGTCTAGCAAAGCAAGCCGCGGACTCTCGTCGATTTGGAGGAGGAAATAAGTAGATAAGTAACCCAAATTCCTGCACGGATGTTGGCCGACGCATTGTGCTCATTTCGGGAGAAGCTTGACTCCTGCATTTCGGCTCAAGGGCGCCATATGGCCGACTTAGTTTTTAGAACGTAAATTTTGTTTTATTTAAAAAATGGCATCTATTTCTTAGTATTTTTATGTAATAAAATATTTTTCCCATACTTATTTTGACTGTACTACTCAATTAAAAAACATGCGTTCTTTCTGACGGACCCTGTAGTTTGGCCTTAAACTATGATAGATTTGCCAGATTGGTTTAATGGACTCATTTATTATTGAACCTTCAACAGTGTCTTTAGGTATTAAGCATCGCCGATATACAGGATGTTTTCTTAACATATGGCATAACATCAGGTAATCTTCCTTTGAATTATGTTAAGACTAATTTGCCTTTTGAAGATTTTATCATAAATGTTTTAATACGCACTGATCACATATGACACTACTTATTTTTCAAAAACTGTTTCTAAAAATTAAGTTCATTTTGTTCCTCTGTATCTTCGGAACAAAAATCCTAGAGCATAGAAATACATACATATGTAAGCGTCCTGTATATTCTCAACTACTAATACCGAACTTTGAGCTATGACTTAAAAGTTGTTACATTTCAGTACCAATTCTTCCGTAACGAATACTCAAATAATCTGTGCCACAATCTGCTCGGGATCTGTTTAACTTTTTAGCTGTATCACAATCTGACAGATTTACCTTTCATACTAGTCCGGGATCGCATCTGATGGGAAAAATATTCTGATTCAGACTGTTTGCACAATCTTATCCAAAAAAAGGCCCCTTTTATTGAATCTGCATGTAGCCAGGCGCAAATGTGAGATAAAAATTTCAAAAACTATTTTTCTTTTCGCTCCGGTCAAAGTGTTTCTGGATATTTTTGGAGATTCTGAACAAAAAAAGGTACTTTTCTCTAAAAAAATGCGAAATATTCTATTTAAGACCCCGAAATACAATATAAAAAACAAAAATTTTAGTGTTTTAATTTTTGAAATTTCAATTTACTATTTACGTATATGCTCAAATATTTAAAATGATTCGATTTACACAATGTTTTCATGATTACTCGTAAGATTTATCGTATTTTGATCTAAAGATTTTCCTATTAGAATATATTTTGTTTTGTTTGTGTTTAATTAGAGTTTATTCACATTTAACTATTCAACAGCTCAATTGCAGTTTCAGTGTCTTTACTTGATATATATATATATATATATATATAACTTGAGACGTCATTGTCGTCTAGACCAGTTAGGTGAAAAATTAAAGCTTCCGCCTTTTGTTGGGTACTTCGACAAAAATGTTAAACAAGGAGGACTCTTTATACTTTTTTATTCTCTCTAGCTTTCAATGGACTTTCATCATCAGGAGCTGCAATTACATTGATAACAGTAGCAACAATAGTATAAAATGAATTTAAATTAATTTAACTTACAGTAGAATGTGAGGATGTTGCTAATTGTTGTTTACGTTCAGGATGAGGGAAACGTCCAGTAACAGCACAGCACAGCTGTATGACAAGAACAAGTTAAAAACAGATTAAAAATTTTTAGAACATGAAAGCATTACAATTACATCGTGAAGCCACTTGATGATTACACAAAATGGTGGGCATGGAATAATGAGTAAGATGAACCTTTTGACAGATGGCCGAAGGTTATCAGTGTCTGTGTAGAGTGATGGAACGAATTCTTTTGTGGGCGTGTGCTACGTTGCCAAATCACTTCAGATGATGTGATTTTCAAAATGTGTATATATATATATATGTGAAAAATAAAGCTTCCGCCTTTTGTTGGGTACTTCGACAAAATTCAAGCAAAGAGGACTCTTTATACTTTATTAATCTCTAGCTTTCAATGGACTTTTCCATCTTCATCAGGAGAGCCGTATGTGAGGTTGTTGCTAAATGTTATTAACGTTTAGGTTGAGGGAAACAACCAGTAACCTGTTGAGTGCAGGATACATGGTACATTTGGTACAAAATTAATATAAACTACACACAGCTGTATGTAGGGAACAAATTAAAACGGATTAAAAATATTTAAAACGAAAGTTAAAATTACATCGTGAACCACCTGATGCTGCACAAAATGGTGCAGTAGAATACTTTTTTCTGAATCCTGCTTGAAATTTTGTCAGTATCTTGTTTTCTTCAATATATTCAATGACTTGTTCATATATGATTCCTTCTAAGAGCTTCTCGACACCTGTTTAAAAATATTTAAAAAATGTTTATGCAAATTTGGGCCTGGCAACATGCAAATGCGTTAAAAGGAGTCCTTTTCGAATAATATTATGCAAAATATCCGAATCAGAATATGTTTCCTATCACATGCGAAGATATTGCTCGGACTATACGATGTTCAATAATATCATTTATTTTTAGGTTTCTGCCACCGACATCGATGATGGGTTCAATGGGAGGGTTCGATATTCGATCATATCTGGAGACATTAATAGAGATTTCAGCATAATTGAAGATACGGGAGTCATTCGTGTGGCAAAGAATCTGAATTATGAACGCAAATCTCGATACACTCTCATCGTGAAAGCGGAGGACTGTGCAGGTAACTATTATTTCAGAATCCTTCACCTTCCACGGAACATTCACGTTGATGCAATGTCATAAAGAAAACGTTTAAGTTGCTTATAAAGACAACACAGTGACTGAAACATGACAAAACATTTCAATTAAATTGTTTTAAAATTACTGCGTGGTAATAATAAGAAGATGCCGTAAACCGTGAGTAATTGTCAGCTACTGTCTTAAACACAAAGACACGATATTGCTATGTCCTTTCAGCCACCTATTAAGCACTTTTTAACAAGGTTGATCATTCGTTTGTAGGTAAGTACAAAATTATGGATACATGAAAGTATAATCCCTTTTGTCGCTAAACGGATGCGCGTTTTCTTCAAGGGCGACCATTAGATATTATCTGTGTTATAAATAACAGAATGCCGTCAGATGTAAAAATACAAAAACCTTGGAACCCAGGACCACTGAATGGATTTTTGAGATTTTTAGTGGAATGCGTATAAAATAATGTATTTATATTAAGAACTTTACTTACTAAATATCTGCGCTTTTTGATTTTCAATTGTTTTTTAGTTTTGCCTTTTTCTATTAGGTAGTAGATTGCATTGAACTGTATTATGTATTTTACATAATCATACTTTGGAGTTAACTACACCCGCCCCAGGTCTCTTTGTCAGTGCGATCAAGGGTCTTCCAAATGAATTATATCATCTTCTTTACAAACACAAACAAGTAATCTGAGAGTTTGCACCTAGAAGAATTCGCCAAATAATGGGATAATCAGGAGACGAGAAAAGCAACAAAAACCACAGTTTTTGATTGAAGCATTCTTGCTATACAAATACTAGAATATACTCGTATTTGGAGTTCTATTCTTCTTTATGACTCCATATGGATAAAACTAAAGCGATTTTACACATACTCTGAAATTGCTCATCAATAGGCAAACGGAAAAATTTGGTTTAAGAAAATTAAAAATAATTGAGTATTAAAAGCGTACAAAATTAATATGTATTTTTGATAAATAATTTTAAATCTCAATAGTCCGTTCAGTAGAGTTTTCTACTATACGTCAAATAGAAGGTGTAAAATAATAACTTTACATAAAAAACAATTAAAAAGCATACCCCCACAGATTGTACTTCGAGAAGGTAGAGTGTCCTGGTAGTCAAAACGGTATCGGCAGAGCTGTTCAATTTTCCTCAGTGTTTTTGGTTATTGGCTACAGAAGAGTATGGATCGGACAGACAGCCAAGGTATATGTTTCAAAAATTACAGTAGACCTGAAAATTGCGGAAATACAGGGTGGCCAATATATAACTGATATGATATTTACGGCCATACAAAATTCAATTAACCCAAGAACTACAGCCTAGTGACCATGAAAGTCGCCGACTAATACAGCCATGCAATATTGCAGCTCAATACCCAAAATAACGATTTTTACCGTCAACTGTTACTGAGCGATGAAGCCCACTTCGATATGAACGAATTTGTTAATAAGCAGAATTGTCGTATCTGGGCATTAGAGAACCTCGTGTCATCATCAACGACCACTACAGCCTCGTCGAGTCACAGTTTGGTGCGGTGTTTGGTATGGAGGTGTCATTGGACCTTACTTCTTTGAAGACGCTGCAGGTTATTCTTTTACTGTCACTGGCGAGCGCTATCGTGATAGGGTGCAAAACTTTCTGGCTCCTCAAATCCAATAATTTAATCTGCAAAACATGTGGTTCCAGCAGGACGAAGCAACTTGTCACACAGCTAGGGAAACAATGAATCGTTTACGAACAATATTTCCGGGACCTTTAATTTCTCGATTTGGTGATGTCAACTGGCCACCAAGGTCACCGGATTTAACGGCTCCTGACTTTTGTTATGAGTATCTTTGAAAAATAGGATGTATGCCAACAAACCAAATACTGCAGAGCAGCTGAAGAACAATATTATGGAAGCCATTGAAAATATTTCTTCCGAAACCTACCAAAAAGTGATGGAATTGTAATCAAGAGCGCTCAGGTTTGCGCGCTTCTAGAGGCGGACATTTGTCTGATGTTGCTTTCTAATTTCTTAGTTCCAACAAAAGATTAATATGAAAAAATGGACGAATTTTATTTCACAAATATTCAAGGTAAAAACCAGTCAGTTACATATCGGCCACCCTGGTATATTGCCACACGTTGAAATTGAAACATTCTGCAACTTGCCGCGGCACAAGTACCAGTTATGGATCAACGTGCGCTTCAAAAATCTAGAAATATTACCGCTTCCATCATTTATATTTTTAAGTCCTATGTTATGAACACAAAAATCTATAAACAAATATCAAACTTCTGCCACCGATGTACTCTGTAATGTTAATTATCTAAGAAATCTGTACTGGCGACTGAGTATGACTAAAAATTATATAATTTATCCGTCTATACAAATGGTTTGCTCGTACAGTAGTCGGTAACTTGTCGGTGACTGTCAAAATCAGAATCAGAGGGATGTTACCTGTTCGTACAGTTTCTGACTGTTTGCCGACAGCTAATCCGCTGTTCGTACAGAACCTTCTGACATATCAGAGGACACCACTCAACCAGTGACAGTGACAGGTATCAGAGTGTGTCGGGACTATCTTGAGGGCTAAAATTGCTTCGCAAGAGGCATTTAATGAACTTTCCGCTAATGGACGGACACCTTCGTACCAACGGGCCGTTGGCGATCTAGCTTCGCCAGCGGGCTTTGCTCCTCAGAGGTCTCTTCCATGGTGTCGCTCCACGATGTGCCTACCTGACTTCGGCCTCCCATCGTAAGCGTGTCGAACTTCGTACATCACGAACTGGCCGATAAGACCGCTCCTTTGTTCAGAGGGTGTTGAAATCGTGTAACAATCTACATGAGGAGATTTGCCCAATTCCACTAACTTTAGGCAGTTCAAAGTGGGAATAACAAAGTTTCTTCAAGCTCCTGAAGTCAGCCTTGGCATGTAGGGTTCACCTGCGCGGCTGCTTCGGTGTAACAAAAATGAAAGCCAAAAACCTTAATTTTGTAAAGAAAACAGTGCCACAATGCAACAGAAACAAGTTTTTGTAACATTTTCGGGTGAGCAAGTGGCAGAAGAAATTTTAATGAAATTCCATTTTAAATATCAGCCAGCGCCAAAGTGCTTTGTGCTCAATATTTTGTTTATTGACCCGGTAATGGCAAAATGAAGATTATGAATATAGTATGAAAAATCCGAACAATAGGGGACATAACTTTCAAGGACCATAATTAATACGATTTTTTTAATCACTAATATTTTGAAAATTTTTGTTACAATTGCAAAATGCGTAATTACGCGATTTAAGTCTTACTTCTATGTATTTTCGTAGTCTCTAACAATTTCAAGGCCTACCTAGGAACTTCTGGAATAACTAAGGTTTTGCAATGTCAATGTATAACATACATTTTTTAGATCAGAATAAAAATTCTATTTATGTGTGTAAGAATCTAAGAAAAAATTAAGTTGATGTTGGAGAGGAACATAGGGACGAAAATGTGGCAGAGTTTATGTGCAATTTATTTTGAAATACCACCACAAATAAAGTCAGGAAAAAATTAAAGCGATTTTGGGAAATTTCGTTTTTTACGTCTCTTTCCGGAAATACTTTCAATTTCAAAACTTTCTAAGCGATATTTTGCTGAATATCTGAATACGCAACTTTGCAGCTTTTTAAGTGACTTTGTATCCCTTGAAGTTTCCGAGATCCCAATGGTGAGGGTCGAATTTAAAATACCCTGTATAGGGAAAATGTTATTTTCACCCCAGCACAAACAGTCACTCCCTCTCCGTGAGCACCCGTGATAAAAAGCTGTATCACAAAATCTCCAGAATTCGTTATTTTGTTTATTTCTTCATCAGCTTTGGGTTGGACTTACATAGCTAGAATATATAAATACTGTTTGTGCATACACTTCGAGGCTGGGCGACAAGGGAACAGGGAACAAAAACCCTACTATCCGAGTTTTATTAAAAGTCATTCACAATACTTTGTACTTTTCTCGTGCATAATCACTGCACGGTATGTAAACAACATCTTGACAGGTGACGAGACTTGGCTCTATTATTACGATGTGCCGGCCAAGGCTCAAAACAAAGTTTGGGTCTGTGATGATGAGGACATATCCGTAGCTGTCAAAAAATCCCGATCTGTTAAGAAAAAAATGTATTTTTCAAATCGAGCAGGGTTGCGGAGCGTGACAATCACAGCTAAGTAGTACATGGAACAGTGACTGCCTAAAGTCATAGAGTCACCATGATAACGCTCCAGCTCACGGCACCACAGCCTGCACCGAGTATTTGACCACTACTGGAGTGAAACTTATTGGACACCCTCCTTACAGTCCAGATCTTGGTCCCTGCGACTGCACTGTTTCCGAATGTGAAAATGAAGCTAAAAGGAAAACGGTTTTCTAACGATGAGGACCTTCTGAGGGATTGGGACAACCAGTGTTCCGCACTCCCGGGTGAAACTTGGCAGAGTTGGTTGGTTTAACAAGTGTATTGAATGTAAAACTTTTAGTAGTACCCATTCTATTATCATATGCATGACGACACAGGAAGCAGTGGGTTGTTATATCTATATCATTCGAGTATTTACATCTCTAATTTCAGCTTTAAAAATACATTATTGTACGATATGGAGAGAATACTCATCATGTAACATTCTATATTATATATATATATATACTTCGTAAAACGACAGAATTATATAACAGGATTAAGTGAAGATGAACTGTACAATTTAATGAATGGTACTGTACATCCCGAACATGAATCCGCAAGTCTAATGCTATGTGATTCAGATAATAAAAGTGCTCTATCAGTCATACAAATATCTTTTATCGCGCAAATAAATACAATAAAAAAGTCTCTTACACTAAGGAGATCGCATTCATAGATACAATGATAAAAAGGAATGGAAGAGATGTAAAATATATATCAAATGCCTACTTAGACACTGATCATAAATTTAATTCCAATGTTGCACCTCATTTGAAATTGAGTAGTAAGTGATAAAGTGACGCCTCAAAATGTCGTGCGTGTAGTGTTAACACCATGATCGCTACATATAAACATTTTAGCACCAGTGAAGTAGAACCCAGACACATGCTCAGTGAAAAATAATTTATACACCACTGACTTTTTGGAATCTCTTTTGCATTTTTGGATATTTATTTTACACGACTCGTCATGTTGAGAAATGAATTTTTGCAAAATATTTGATTTGAATGTTTGTTTCTACTTTGAAAAAACGCAAAAATTAGTGAAGACTTACATTGAACAATGTATTGTAGTATATTAGGGGAGTGATCCTATCTCAGCACAGCATTATTTGAAGGATATGAGTCTCGACAGTGACGTAGAATTATATAAAACCAACTTTCTTGGTAATGAAGTATTCTGTTTTAGGATGTACTTTCTGGTCTAGAAACATTACACTTGTTTTTTTTAATCGTACATGTCAAAAAAATACGAGAGCAGATCACCATTCCACTGTTTTGATTTATTCATCGCTCCAACCTTCTTTTCACTATACAGAGTGTTTGATAATTGAACGTCAATATTTAAGGGGTTGATTTTTGGAACCATTTTAAGAAGAAAACATCATATAAACATATGCCCTAAACGTCTTGAATTTTGAGATACAGGGTGGTAAAGTTTTCAATATAGTCAGCCCCACACCACTGACTTTTCTTAAAATAAAAACCTTAAATCTGTATTAGCAGCACCACCGTTTTCACCTAGAAAAATTAAAGCTATTTGATAATGATTGGGGATTTCAAAAATAGTTTTTATTTTAAAAGAATTCGGTGGCGCTCCATAAATATCTGCCCAAATAGGTGGGTAAAATTCCGTGGGAACGCCACTGGTGGAAATTGAATAAATGTAGAACATTAAAAATTGCTTCTTGATATATAGTATATGTATAAAAATTTCATTAATACATCTAAAATGGTACTTACAGATATTGATGATAAATGATTTATTTTTAATAACTTTACCATCCTGTATCTCAACGACATACGTTCATATGCAGTTGAATATTGAAATTCAAATAGGGAACACTCGGTTTTCTTTTCATAAACCTAATGGAATGTAAAGGTTACAACGTAAATAACTGTCGTATGAGGTAAATGGTAAAGTATACTTTTATAATGCTAAAAACATCGAAATCAATCATATGGACAAACATTAAATTACTATTTTGATTTTATAAAAAACATTATCATCGCAGAACTTTGGATTACGCACAATTTTGTTGCGGTTTTTCAAAGTATTCTAATGCACAAATATACCAATATATGGAATCGAATGAAAACTATGTAGTATTTGAGGTTAGAAAAAAATCCAATCTCGAACTGAAAATTTTCTTTTGATAAGGAGATTATATGATTTACTTATAATCATCGCGTCAGGATATTGTATATATATACATGGTGTTCCATAATTATTGCGACAAAATGATAGGGGTTGTAGAGGGCATCAAAATGAACAATTTTTCCTTATAAACCCCTGTTCGGAAATATGCCGTTTGGGCTGCAGCAAAAAAAAGATCAGTTTCTTGAAACAGCTTACCTACAGTAATTGCTCAAAGTATCCTCCACCTTGCTCAATACACAGCTGTGCACGATTGTTCAATGATCGGCGAACTCTGTGGCATACCCCCGGTATGTCCTGAACATGTGCGGACGCGGCCATCACTCTTCCCAGTAGCTCTTGTTGGTTGGGAACAGGAGTTTCGTACACTAAAGCTTTCAGATGGCCCCAGAGAAAATAATCCAGTGGGGTCAGGTCGGGTGACAGGGCCACCTCGGCCTATCCACCTATTTGGAAATTTGTCGTCCAAATACTGCCGCACTTGTAAAGAAAAGTGTGCTGGAGCGCCATCGTGTTGAAACCACATGTTGGCTCTTATGTTCAGTGGCACATTTTCTAATAGTTCCGGTAGCACATGCTGTAAGAATCGACCATAAGCATGCCCATCCAAACGTGGTGGAAGCAAATATGGCCCGATGATATGCTCGTCCACAATGCCGCACCAGATGTTAATTGAAAACTGATGTTGGTCTCTATGGATGGCTATGGCATGAGGGTTTTCTTCATCCCAAATGTGACTATTACGGCTATTAAAATAACCGTCCTTTGTAAAACAGGACTCGTCAGTGAACAAAACGTAGCGACCAAAGTTTGGTTGCCTCAACTCCTGCTGCAGCCACCAACGACAAAAACGTCGACGCGGCAGATAGTCTTCTGGACTCATGGCTTGGACTTTTAAAAGGTGGTATGGGTGTAGTTGCTGGTCATGGAGAACCCGCCAAACAGTAGTTTGAGACGCTCCCATATCATGTGCAATAGCAAGCACGCTTGTACGCGGATTGGCCTCTACATGATGCAGAATCGCTTCCTCAAATTCTACTGTGCGCCTCGTGAAGGGCCGCCCTGCTCCCGCGTGGTGTCTGATGCTGCCACTGACATGAAGACGTCCTTGAATCCTTGCAAAAATGGCGTGATGCGAATGAGGACGTTCTCGAAACCATTAGGCGTAGATTCGCGAGGCTCATCTTCCGTTACCACCAGCTTCTCCGTAAATTAAATGCATATCCTCAAGTTCCGCATACGAATAACGCTGCTTTTTAAAACTAAGGTACTGTTATTTACTATCTAGTTTGACGCACCAATTAAATGTGCTAGACGAACATTTTGCAGCTGGTGAATTTTTTGTTTCTCCTATAAGCTCTTAAGGTAAAATTAGCGGTAGTGCTCAAACGGCATATTTACGAACAGGGGTTTATAAGGCAAAATTGCATATTTTTATGCCCTCTACAACCCCTATCATTTTGTCGCAATAATTATGGAACACCCTGTATATATATATATATCCTTGAATGAGAGAGATGAAGGCAAAGTTTTGCAAAAGTACACTCTTTTAATTTAAACTCAAGCTTTCGATGGTCTATGCCATCATCATCAGGAGCTAAAGACAAAAATTTGGAAAATAGCAACATTACACACTTAGGAGGAGTATCATTACTTACTAAGTCGATACACACCCATACACACACATACACACACACACACACACACATATATATATATATTGCTATTTTGGCACTGTCGAGCAATATACTTACTTACTTTAATTCTTGGGTGGAAACGGTAACAATCTATTCCAAATAATTAAAACCTCATAATTTCAGGCGACATAAACGGCATAGCGGTTCGCTCGGACATGGCCGAAGTGTCCGTCTTCATATCGGACATCAACGACAACCCTCCAACATTCCTGGACTCTCCCTATCTGGCTTACATCACCGAAAACATCATCCCTCCCAATGGGGGGTACGTCATCTCAGTGTTAGCCTACGATGCAGATACGCCACCTTTCAACAATCTGGTGAAATACTTTGTGAAGGAGGGAGACACGGATACGTTCAGGATCAACGCGTCCACGGGGGATATTTCGCTACTGAGAGCGTTGGATAGGGAGATTCAAGCGGAGTATGTTCTCGGTTTGGTCGCCATGGATACAGGTAAGTGCTTTGGTGAAAGTTTCAAAGTACTCTTGCATGATTTCCGTTCAAAAACTTCACTTAAATCAGGGTAAAGTAACTAGAGAATAAAAAGTAACTAAATTAACAACAAGAGTCCACAGGAAAATTTGCCGTCTTCGTCCCAAGACGTGCTAGGGTGAATAAAATGTAACAAACCTCACTATTTATACATATATAATAGGCGAATATCAACTCAATTTTTTTGAATTCTAGTGATTTTCTAATTAACGGCCGAAATTGAGCATTTGAGTCTAACATTTCAGAATAATAAAACTACAGACTAGAGATAGGTACATGATAATTCGTTTGATTGCCCTAGCCTCTACTAATCTCTACTTAATATGATAAATAAGAAAGTGTGAATGTTTTGTTACTCAATCACGCCGAAATAGATTATCTGGATGAAATTAGGTACAGCGATAGATCATAGTCTGTAATAGCACACAGGCTACTTTTTATAGCGGGAAATAACTTTGAAATATCAATTTCACGAGCTATAGCTCAAACGGCTTAATGGAATTTGACAAGAGGTGTCTGGTGCGGTAGCGCTCAGTCGCTGGTCCGATTGAAATAATCCGTCGTCTTCAAAACTGCTGAACCGATTTTGATGCATTTTAGCATAGATACACAGATTAGATCTGGAAGACAGACATATGCTACCTTTTGTTACGAAAGTAAAACTTGAAAGGGTTGAAGTAGGAAGTAAAATTTACTATGGAGAAACTATTATTCTGTAAGTTACAAAATTGAATTTAAATACAAATATTTATATTGATAAAATGTAAATGGGCAGTTATAAATAAAATTTGAGAATCCCACTTCTAAGGGATGAAGCGATGATACAAAACCTAGCATATTTCAAATTAGGCCAGCCCACAAGTAAGAGTTTTTGTCTAAAATAATAAACAGAATTCCAGAAACTATATTCTTAAGGTTGGGTAATCGTGGGTTGAATCTTTCTATGGGGAATCTTATCACTTTTCAAGTTTAGTCTATAGAATATATCACGAAATCTGTTTGACCTATGAACACTAAATTTAGCAGGGAAGTACTTTTTGAGCAAGACAGGGCAGGACAAGGGGACTAAATCTCGAAAAACTTTTTGTCTTATGAATATAACATTTGGTAAGAAGGTAGTTTATGGAAGGACATGTCAGCTAGGAACAGATTTTAGGACAGGGCCAGATTAAAATGGAGCAGAGGCGGTTACAAGTTTATTTGAAGGACGTTTGTTTTTGAATGTAGATCATTTGGAAGGAAGATACTGAATAGGCATTGTATGTCAGTTAAAACTAATCTTACGACAGGGACGTATTATCGAAGTCAAAAGAGTAGACCCAAACTCAGAATGAATTTTGTGTCATGGGCGGAAAGTGGTTTAAGGGGTGTCATAATTTTATATATACAATACTTAAACTTATTTTTTCATAAGAATGCATAGTTGCCGATAATTTACGTTATATGAGTATTAACTACGCACCCTGTATGAAATAGCACACAAACAGCACATTGTATTACAAAACATTCAACTCTAAGCTTAGACTGATTTGTCGGAATGCGATATTATTGTTACGCAACGCTAAAGCGTGTGTAACACGGAACAATAAGCAGCTAAGTCGTACAGCTAGACTGGACAATAAATAAGCTTGATAATAATCAGCCGCTGAGAGATAAATGTAAAAAATTTAAGAGCAGCTGAACTCGGGTCAAATCCGTAATAACTTAAAGCCGCATAACAATATGCAAGCAGCACGATCTGTCTTGTCAATATTTAAATGAAATCAGAGATACAGGCCGATTGAGATTTCGAGTTGACTTATTGTTAGTTCAGGCATATTATGCAATCTCTTTACTGTATATGCGTAGAATGAAATTCCATTGTTTCATGTTAGCGCACATTGACGAAATAGAGTAGTAAATTGGAATCGGAAAAAACTTGTGTAACTTACAAAAAATTGCGTCACGTAGGTTGAATCTGCACTTCTCAAGCAACGTAGTCATCAGTTCATAAAAGATTATGAGCAGCACAAGTCATTCCCTCTACGATAAAAGTTAGCTAAAAAAAAATTTTGATCGGATTAAGCCAGTCAAACAAGCTCACGCAGCTAGTCTCCATAGTTTGAAAGAATTTGATAACTTCACGATCTATCCTACCGACAGTGCCGACCACGTTGCTACGACTAACCTCGGCCTTCGCCAGCCACGGCAGCCACGCAGGTATACCCGGAGATGCGTGTGTTAAAATGGATTCTCTCATTCGGTTTCAAGTTTTTTGGTTACATTCTAACAGTTTTCGAATAACCCATTCGTTTAATATATCAGTTGAGCAGATTCGTTGGAAAATATTTATTTTCTATAAAAAATACATTTAAAAGATATCAATCTTCAAAAAATTTTCAAATAACTGAGTACTAATAGTTCAATCCAAAAACCTCTATCTAGCTGCTCGTAAATGTTTAGTGACTATCTCCCTCGTCTTAATTTTAACCAATCTCAAACACGCAATTTTGAATTACAAATAGTTTCTAGATGAAAAATTGTATGACAGCACCTGTCAGCAGTTTTTCGAGGTTACCCGCGGCAAAACTTGACAGCTGTAGTCACCAAAAGTTGCAATACCTTTGATAACAAGTAATTATGGTCTCCTAGGACACCAGAAAACGACGCTAAACATTCTTTCTAATTTTATTGTCAATCAATTTTGTAATATTGTTTTTAATGTGTATGCAGAATGATCTGTTACTCATGAAATAGACTTGTCAAATACCATTCGGGCATTTAATTTTTTCCTTTAAAAAAAAAGAACGAAAATCTCTGGAGGTGCAAAAATCCTCGTCTTCTTGTTAAAATATTACAAGGCAACGTGTTTTTTTCGATACTTTTTGGAAAAATTAAAAAAATCGATAAGTTGCTAGATGCATCTCAATATGAAACGATGTGGAGAATTTGTCTATGACGAGTGTACTTTTTTTTATAAATATGAAAAGCTGCTCACGAGATTTTTGATAACAAAAAGTATTCACATTTGAGATTTTGTCGTTCGTGTATCTTTGAAACAAAGCGATTTTTTAATCGATGGACAAATTAGTCTTGGATTAGTCCAAAGCTTTTCCCCTTGAATATTTGCTTCATATCTGACATCAATGTTAGAATAACCTTTATGGGCAGCAGCATACATATTCTGTTTTCTCTGACTATTAAATTGAAACTTGAAAGATCAAAGCTGATTGAAGTTCAGATCTGGTTAGATATCCACATTGCAGCAAAGAAACAGGCTGTGGTCCCACAGCAATAGTCGCTCACCGCCCGCTGGTTCTAATAATGACAAATTGTAATGCTAAGTCGTGATATCGTGATGCACACGTCTCTGTCGCGTGAGACAGCAAAAGTAGCTGAATATATAATAGGACTTTTCTAATTCCCATACAGATATGCAGAGTATTTCTAGGAATGCATTGATAAATCGATATCGGTACCAGATGTCTTAAGTTATTCGTTTCTCAGAAAGACTGCTTATTCAATATTTGTAAAACTGAAATGTTCATGTGCCATGTAATGTATTTTTAAAATACCTGCATTGAAGATGGAGTAACACTTTTCTGGTTTCCGCATCTTTAAGATGCAATGAATAAACGTGTGTATAGACCAAGCAGATCCTAGGGTGGTATATCTGACTTTCATAATTATGTTGTTTTGGAGATCGTAAATGGTCAACATAACGTAAAGAAATTTAAACCTTCAATTGCCAATTAAACATCGTTTCAAGGAATGAACATAAAAGTTTTTACAAGTTTTTTTCGGAATTTCAGATAGGCAAAAAATGAAAAAGAATGTTATTTAGCTTCTGAAAAAGCCGCAATAAGTTTTTTCGTGCTTTCTTAGGAAATGTACACAGATTGATATTTGCAAAGAATGCAACTTTTACACATCTTTTTAGACCACTCAACTTGGTGGATTTAAATAAAAACAGTGAAAAATGATGTTTACCTCTTAACAAGCTTGAAAATTGCGTACGCGTGCTTTTCCGAAAAAAGTTGCGGCAAAAATAATTTTGTGTAGTTCAGTACTTTTGAAAGGACATGATTAAAGGGGTATCAAGGAAAGTCGATAAAGAATGAATAATGTAAGTCACTGAAGAAACGGTCAAGGACTTATTTTCCTGTTATTCAGAGGCAAAGTAATGTGTCTTCCATATATTTTGTAACCCATCACAAAATAAATATTTATGTATATCTATCCATATGACACGAAATAAATAGCAAACCTTTAAACAGACTCAAAATTTTTGAGGCAGCCACCTACGCGCTTACAAAAATTGTACCCAAAATTTGTCACATATCAATATCTAATCACAAAACAAAAATAGACGTAAAATACACAATGTTTCTGGAATTAGTGTTTTGGGCCTAAAACCCTACATCAGAGGGTCCAACAAATAGCCATACCCACTAGCTCCAAAATATCCCAATTTCTAAACTTAAAATACGCAAATTACCTACTGCAGCATTAAAATAAATAATCCACAGATCAGGTCCCTCAAATTATTTTTATAATTCCTCCCCCCACGAAATCTATATCTACGTTTATTACGGCGAATCAATGACAAATTCGCACAGTATTTTGTCCGTTCGAGAGAGGGGGGGAGTTCCTACCCCCTAATACTCCTATACCCTGCTGTGTAGATAAATATTTAGAACCAGTATGTATAATATAATAAAATGAATCTTATGTCTCTGTAGTAGCCATTCCGTAGAATTGTCCATTTCATTAAATCATCAAGCATTTCATGAAATGGGTGCACTTCATGAAATATCCAACTAAATTTGACCATATCATTAAATCGTCAGCGTTTAACGATTTGGTCATCTCTAGACCATATAGAATCGTCAGCATTTAACGATTTGGTCATTACGATTGACCACACCATTAAACGAAACACCCCCCATCAAGTACCTTTGTTTGTAAGATATTTTAATTTCAGTTCAGTCGCCATTAAGTAACAAATTTAACAACAAAGCGCCTTAATCGGTAATTAATTATTTTACGATTTGATTAAATAACCCTGACCATTTCATTAAGTAGCGATGGGGTTAGTTGATCATATCGATAAACGATTTTTTATCATTGATCAAGTCACACTAGGGTCGAGCCAATGAATGATAATACATTTCTTGAAGTGAGACCATTACGATGTGGCCACGATAGCTCTAGAACCCAGGCTGTTTTTTCTAATATCGACATAAAAATTTTAAATTTGGGTTTCTGAGCATAGAGGAAGAATACTATTTTCGCTATTCTATTTTTTATCGTAGTTTGTAGGTGACGCTAGTTACAGCCTAAAATTTCGCTGTTCCATTACACAATTTTGCTGTTAGTACTTTTCCTTTTTAACATTGAAAATTATGGTAAAGTGATATAAAACAAGGGTATTCTGTCGACTTTGATTAACCCAACCCACAAGGAAGTATTTGCATTTCAAACACTCAAATTCAGCACTTGCACGAATTGTATCAGCAATAGGAATATAGATTAGTATGAATACATGAAAAGTATTTCATGACCACAATCTCTATGTTCATTCCAGGTTCTCCACCACTAACAGGTACCGGTACTGTTCGCATCATAGTCCAGGACGTCAATGATCATAGCCCTGAATTCAAGCGGCAATCATATTATGGGACCGTATCCGAGAATTCACCAATTGGTACTTGGGTCCTCACTCCAGTAGCTACAGACGGTGATATTGGGTTGAATGCCAAGATTAGATACAGCCTCTTGGGGGACAAGGTCGAGAAGTTCAAAGTTGATCCGGATTCTGGCGTTATTACTACTGCAGCGGTACGTAAAACACTTAAGAGTATGCCACCTTTCAATATTAATTACGTAATATCAATATCAATTCTAAAAACTCTAATATACACCTAGAAATCGCAATGTCACATCGATGTATTGAAAACATTGATACGTCGAACATCGAGCATCCGTTTTCGCATCCGTGGTTCATGTCGATCGATGTCGTCTGGACAATTATCATCCCTACATACACCATATCTTACAGATTCATTTACATTTCATCTTTCTACCAAACTTCTTGTTATCTGTTATCTCTTAACTCCCAATAATCTGCTAAATTGTCGTTATATTACAGGCCCTTGATAGAGAGGATAACGAAGTATACACTTTAACCCTTATGGCGCAAGACTGCTCTGCTACGGAACCCAAAGCATCAACTGTCAACCTTACCATCAAAATAGCCGATGAAAACGATAACTCTCCCACATTTGATTCTAACAAATACGAAGTTTACATATCCGACAAGACTCAAGCAGATCAATTCGTCTTTGGAGCTATAGCTACTGATGAAGATACGGGAGATAACAGTAAAATCACGTACAGCATTTCTGGTGAAAATGCCAAAGATTTCATCATCAACAACGACACTGGCGTTATAAAGGCACTGAAAGACTTGCAAAAATCATCAACAAGGGTGTTCAATTTGGAGATAGAAGCCAAGGATGGAGGCAAAATTCCCAGAAAGGCTAGTGCTGAAGTTCGGATATTCCTGAAACCTGACCATTTGTTTCCAAGGTAGGTAGTTGATAAATGAAGAGTTTCTCTTCGCTCTGTATATCTTCCCCTCAGTGAGAGTGCACCTTTAGTTCATCTTTCTGATTTAAAAATATGTTTCAGCTTCATCATGCCGACGAAAACAAAATTCGTTCTTCCAGAAAATGTTGAAGAAGGCAAGCTAATCTCAAAGATCAAAGCTGCATCACCCAAAAAAGGTTCTGTTGGTGAAATCAGATACTCCATAGCTGGTGGTAATATAGGCGAAGCTTTGAAAGTAGACAGAACAACTGGAGAAGTATATGTTACGGGTGTTGGTCTTGACTACGAAAAATCGCCACAATGCGAAGTATGGATTGAAGCCCAGGACTCTGACTCGCCTGCACTAAGAAGTGTTCTGCAACTGCTCATCAACGTTACAGATGCCAACGATAACCCTCCAACACTAAACAGCCAGATGTATAATGCTTCAGTCATGGAGGAAGAAGCCCCTCCTCTATTAGTCGTCAAGGTATCCGCCACTGATGCCGATTCTGGTGAAAATGCTCGAGTTACCTACAAGTTACTTGACGATTTCGACGGAACTTTCGAAATTGATGGTGAGACAGGTGAAATCTACACTAGCACCCGTTTAGATCGAGAAGATATACCAAGCTACGAACTTACTGTGGAAGCAGTTGATGAAGGAATTCCTCAGCTGTCCGGCACAGCTACAGTCACAGTTACTGTATTAGATAAAAATGACAATCCTCCGAGATTCACAAGGCTGTACAGCGTGAATGTCACAGAAAACGCAGAAATTGGTTCATTTGTCATCAGAGTAACTAGTTATGATCAGGATATAGGAGAAAATGCTAACGCAACTTACAGCTTTACAGAAAATCCTGGTGGTAAATTCAAAATTGACCCAATCAGTGGAAATGTTACAGTAGTTGGGCACCTAGATCGAGAACAACAAGATGAGTATATCCTCAAGGTAACAGCTGCGGATGGTGCTTGGAGATCAGACACACCTCTCACCATAACAATTCAAGATCAGAATGACAACGCCCCTGAATTTGAGTACTCTTATTACAGCTTCAACTTTCCAGAACTGCAGAGGGATGTAGTTTTTGTCGGTCAAGTAACCGCTACTGATAAGGACAAACAGGGTCCCAACTCGGTAATAAGTTACTCTTTACAACAGCCTTCTGATCTGTTCACTGTAGATCCAGCATCTGGTGAAATTTTCAGCAAACGCAGTTTGAAATACATATATACTCAAGTCGAATCATCACCAGAGAATATGTATTCCTTGACAATTCTGGCAACAGACAACGGTAAACCTCCAATGTCTTCCGAGTGCCTGGTGACCATAAACGTAGTTGATGCTAACAACAATGCTCCAGAGTTCGAGCAAAAGGAGTACCTATCACCTGTACCGGAACACGCGAACGTTGGCCAGAGCCTTTTGAAAGTTGAAGCCAAGGACCTGAAGGATGTTGGAGTGAACGCAGATATCGAATACTCAATAGTAGACGGCAATGGTTCCAAATACTTTACAATTGACAAGGCGAATGGTTGGATTGCTGTCAAGGAAGCGGTCCTGGGTGTTGGTACGATATTCAACTTACAAGTAAGAGCGACAGATAAAGGAACACCTCCCCAGCAAGATGAAGCAACAGTCGTTTTAGTTGTAACTGGCGAAAATGAACACAACCCTGTCTTTACCGCATTAAGCTACCAGGTGATAGTTCCTGAAAATGAACCACTAGGTTCTACTATTCTCACTGTGAGTGCATCAGATAGAGACCATGGTCCCAATGGTATGATTAGATATCGCATCTCAGGAGGCAACGAAAGAAAAGAGTTCGCAGTAGACCCTATATCAGGAGCGGTTACTATACTTCAGCCACTAGATTATGACACAATCCAGGAATATCATCTTAATATCACAGCGGAAGATCTAGGCTTCAAATCACGGCGTGCCACAGCTATGTTAACTATTACTCTAACTGATATCAACGACAACTCTCCTGTGTTTGACCAAGCGTTTTACGAAGCTTACCTGTTAGAAAACGAGTCTCCAAATAGCTTCGTTTATCAGGTTAAAGCTACTGATATTGATTCTCCAAAGAACGCTATAATCCTCTATTCTATAGCAGATGGTATAGACAAAGAATTCTTCAAGATAAATGAGAAAACCGGAGTTATAACATCTGCTATTAGCTTTGACTATGAGGAAAAGACCTCTTACCATCTGAATATTGTGGCTGCTAATCCGGATTCACCAATGTTCAGCAGTACTGAAGTTAATGTGTTCATTACTGGAGTCAACGAGTTTTATCCACGTTTCGTACAACCTGCCTTCCATTTTGATGTATCCGAATCAACTGAAGTTGGTACCAAGATTGGTACTGTACAAGCTACAGACCAAGACTTTGGCGATGACGGCAAAGTTTACTACCTATTTGTGGGATCCAGCAACGATAAAGGTTTTAGTATTCATCCAGAAACGGGAACAATCAGCGTTTCAAGAAGACTAGACAGAGAAACGCAAAGTCGAATAGTACTTACAGTAATGGCTAAAAATGCAGGTGGAATTCGTGGAAACGATACAGATGAAGCTCAAGTTATAGTTACTGTACAAGATGGAAACGACCCACCAGAATTCCTACAGAATCACTATGAAGCAGAAATTTCCGAAGGTGCCAGAATTGGAACTAAGGTACTAACAGTAAAAGCTGTTGATAAAGATGTACGAACGCAAAATAATCAATTCAGCTACTCCATTATAAATGGGAATACTGAAAGAACTTTCAAAATCGATCCTCAAACTGGCGATATCCAGACGGCAAGAAACTTGGATAGAGAGACAATACCTTTCTACACTTTGATCATCGGTGCCATTGATACGGGCGTTCCACCACAAACTGGTACAGCTACTGTCAAAATCCAAGTCGGAGATATCAATGATAATGGTCCTATATTTGAACCTGCAGAAGTTGTGGGTCGAGTTATGGAGAATCAACCTCCAAATACTCGGGTGATGACTTTATCTGCGAAAGATCCTGATTTACCTCCAAATGGAGCACCATTCACCTATAGATTGATTGGAGGAAAACAAAAAGACTACGTGAGAATCGACAAACATACTGGCGTTGTTGTCACCACCAGAACTATAGATAGAGAAGTGACGCCAGTACTAAATCTTCTAATAGAGGTGGAAGATAGCGGATCACCTAGATTAAAGTCCGAGCATTACGTGAACATAGAGGTTCAAGATGAAAACGATAGTCCTTCAAGCTCTAGAACAGTCCATGTTATAGTTTATGCATTCAACGAAGAATTTCCTATGGGCAAAATTGCGAACGTTCATCCGAACGATCCCGATTTAGTTGGCGACTATAAGTGCAAAATTCTACAAAAGTCAGCACCAGATATCCTATCTATACCATCAGGTTGTGATCTTCATACCTTCAAAATAACTCCAGGACATGGGTACTCACTTTCAGTCTCTGGGAATGACGGGAAACACTCTGATGTCATCTCTACTGTAACTATTGAATTCGTATCATTTACCAACGCTACTATAAGCAATTCAGTAACAATAAGAGTTGCTAATGCAACTGCTGAGAGGTTCTTAGCCATGAACTATAGAGGTATGCTGGACATTCTCAAAGGCATTTTAACTCCTGGGGAAAGTATTTTGCTGTACAGCTTATTCGACGATAAAGGTGGACTGGAAATAACTGTAGCAATCAAAAATGAAGGTAGTGCAGGATACAGGAGCAAATTCTATACAACTGAGAAGATTCAAGGCAAGCGTGATGCTTTAGCAAGCCTATTCCAGACCAACGAGGTAAAGATTGGATATACACCGTGCAACACAAACACATGTGAAAACGGTGGCATCTGTACGTCTAACGTCGCTGTGAAGAACTCGACAAGAATAACTGATAGTCAAAGTATAATATTCACTTCACCATTAGTGGAGCACGAGTATATATGTCAATGTGCAGAAGGCTTTACAGGACCAACTTGTAATAAGAGACAAGACCCCTGCTTGCCGAACCCGTGTAAACTAGGTAAGTACCATAATAATTTTTCAAGTATTCCCTTTGTTCCATTCCCTTTGGGAATCATATAATTCATAAAGTTTCTTTTGATAGTTTTCATCAGTAGTTGGGTCCTCGCTTGAAATAATAAAGCGAATATGCGATAACACAGCAGCGAAAAAGTAAAAAAAAATTATGAAACTGCTCGCCGTTCATATTTTTTTTTTAATTTGAAGTATTGATGTCGCTGTTCGATCCCAAAAACACAAGTCTGTGGTCGACATTTGCAACATTCGTACATGTCAAGTTTTTCTAGATCGACCTTCCTTCAAATGATCTGTGTCCCAAACTTTTTGTTCGAGATTAATAAAACTACGCGACGTAAGATGGAAACGTCCAGGAAAAGTGTCTGAATGTATTCGCGAAGTCTCAACAGTATTTCGGTTATCTCGAGATGTACAAGTAACTACACGTCGTGTAAAGCAAGACTTCAACTTTATACTAACTTAGACACTGTAATCAACATGTAGATGAAATGTTGTAAATACGTCAAATATTATTATTTCGCAATTTTTGCAGCATTAGGGATGTTGTAACCTCTTTTTATCCATAACTGATATAGAAAAATTCTCACAAATCCCATTCATGCAATAAAGATACAGTTATCAAAACGCGGCGATAATTGGATACCAAGTATTGATAGAAAATGTGAATCTTCGGTTGAACCAACTAGCCAGATAATTACAATCATTTCTTAATAAATAAAAAAATACTGACAATAATGATAGGTTTTATATGTTACACTTACTAGCAACAAATTTTACTGTTTTTTCAGGGGGTCAATGTCGAAGGCAAGGATTCACCTTCCACTGTGTCTGTCCACCAAATAGGGATGGACGCCATTGCGAACTGGAAAAAGGCGACGCTTGCTCGGAAAACCCTTGTCAAAATGGCGGTTCGTGTCGTGAAAGTCCAGATGGTTCGTTCTTCTGTCTGTGCAGATCCGGCTACAGAGGCAACCAATGTGAAATCCTTGCAGATTCGTGCAGGCCCAATCCATGCTTGCACGGAGGACTGTGCGTCAACTTGAAACCAGGGTATAAGTGCAGCTGTACTGATGGCAGATACGGTAGACATTGTGAGCAGTCCACGTATGGCTTCCACGAGTTATCGTACATGTCTTTCCCATCATTAGACAGTGCTACCAATGATATATCGTTCACCTTTGCAACCACCAAACCCAACTCTTTGCTGATATACAACTACGGATTGCCCACTGGAGGTTAGTTGATTTATTGGAATATAAGTTTGAGTCGGGTAGAAGTAGAAGTAAATATAAATGTTTATTTGTTTAAAATTTATTTAACATGATTGCTACAATTACATTCTTCTAAAAAACTAAACAATTACATTACAGATATTTAGAAAAAAACTTGCAAAGAATTTGCAACTCTAAGAATTTTCATTGAAAATGAAATATTTTAATTTCATCTTTAAATTACAAGTAGACATTATATCATTATTTAGTTTATTAAATTAAAGTAACCCTTCTGAAATACTGATTTGCTAGTTATATTACTATTGCAATTTTGTAAATGAAAATCTATGTTTCCTCTTGTAAAATAATTGTGGTAATGATTATTCAATTCTATGTAGTGTTCTAAATGTTGTGGCAAAATATGATTTCTTATTTTAAATATAAAAATAAGAGCCAAATATGATATGATTATTTTATATTCAACCACTACAATTCTTGTAACATAGATTTTATTTTTTTGTACTTATTTTGATTCAATATTACTCTCAGTGTTATATTTTGCAGGACTTGTAATGTTGAAATACAGCTTCATTGACAGTGAACAAGATAGTTGAACAATACAGTAAATGCGGTACAATAATTGTATTATAAACTATTTTTTTTTTGGAATATGTACCAAGACTATGAGAAGTCCTATAAAAGTAATTTGTTTTTTTTTTGGCATTTTTTTAAATAATGTATCATAGTGATCCTCAAACTTTAGTTTACTGTCAATATATATACAGGCTGAATTCGAAGTTGAGTCATTTATTTTAACAGTGAGTAGATCTGATCAAAAGAAATGTTTTTTCCTTTACCATTTTTCTGGTAAAATTAAAGTAACAAAGTTATAGCCCTTTGGAAGTTTGAGTACCACCCTGTCTCAATAATAATATCATGTGCTCGTGTTTGGCGATAACGGATATAATTCGCCTTATCGGTTCATCGCATCGGAAACAAAAAAGCGAAAGAATTTGGAACGATGTTTTTACAATTATTTCATTCAGTTGTATACAGTCAGTGTCAGTCGGTAGTGGATAGTGGTGTCTGTTGCGTGGCTCAATCGAAATAAAAAATGGCACATGTTTATGCGGATCGGTTTCCCAATCGAGTGCAACCAACCCATCGTGCCTTTGTTAATGTAGTACAACGGGTTCGTGAATCATTTGACTTAAGACCTCACATATGGATGGCATGCCGGTGCTCCAAGACCTCACGATCAAATACAGGTCCGCACTGAAATACTTGTCGGGAGGATACTTTATAAAACAAGATAAAAAAATTTTTTAATTTTTTTTTATTTTTACACACATATTTTGGTTTATCTTCCTTCTACAATCATTATCTGAAAATTAATGACTCAACTTCAAAGTCACCCTGTATATATATATATATATATATATAAACCTAAATATTTAATTAGTTCAACATTTTACTTTATTTCACCATTTATCCTAACTGCGATAGTATTTTCATTTAGGTATTTAGCATTTTTAAAGCAGTGTCTATATTTTCATCTGATATGTATATTAATTTATCATCTGCAAATATCTGAATTTTACAATCTAAAATATTACAAAGGTCATTAATGTATAAAATAAATAGTAGTGGACCTAGTTTACTACCTCGTGGTATACCAACAGAAATATTTTTTGAGGATGATAATTTAGATCCAATTTTGGTTTTTTGACTTCTGTCGATTAAATGGTTTTGTAGAATTTGGAATACAATCCGTAGTGATGCAATTTTGTAAGTAATTTATCCCTGTCAATAGTCTCAAACGCCCTTTTGAAGTCCAACAACACTGTTACTGTTTGTTTCCTATTGTCCAAACATCTCCTCCAGTCGTCTAAAACCATTTGTGTTGCCGTCTCAGTTGAGTATTTCTTCCTGAATCCAGCTTGAAATTTGTTTGAAATGATATTTCCCTCAATAAATTCGATGATCTTTTCGTAAATAATTTCTTCAAAGACTTTTTCAACATCTGACAGATCATTTTCCGCATATTGATGTGTAACTCAGAATTCTTAACTTTAGAAACAAGAGTTATGGCAGAACAATTCATCTTTGTTGAAAATTCGCCATATTTTAAACAGTAATTTATCAGGATTAATATTCTTGCTCGAATAATATCAAAACATTCATTAAGCACACTTTTAGACAAAATCTCACTCTTATTTTTATTTGATTTAATTTTGAGACGATTAATGTTTATTGTTCTAAACTACAAAATAGGTATTCATTCGATCTGCTATTATTTCTTCATCTGTTATTACCCCATCGTCGAATTTCATTTTAGATAATGTATTTTTTTTAATAGGAAAAATAACGTTTTTCAACGTCTTTCACATCTGTTTGCTATTATTTTTACTCTCATCAATTTTGGCATTGTAATACAGTGTTTGTCCGGAAAGTAATAGGACTCATTTTCTTCCGCCATGACTGTACTTCGGAGCGTGCGCGCACCGACTGGATTCGGTAGAGGGCGTTCCTAGCTAACGAATGAGCGGCTGGTCTGTTGTCTTCGAGCATTTGGAGAGGCATTTTCGCGCGACGTGTTTCTGTGAGTGGTGCAAGCCGAAAATGCAGCGTTCGTTAGAGCAGAGGTACGAGATAAAATTCTGTGTGAAACTCGGTAAATCTGCGACAGAGACGTTTGATATGATCAAGCAGGCTTACCCAGGTGTTGCTTTAGCAAGAAGTGGTGTCTTTCGGTGGCCCCAGGCTTTTTTGGAGGGCTGGGAAGAGGTCGCTGATGAAGACCGTGCTGGAAGACCTTCGACTTCGACAAACACCGATAATGTGACTCGTGGGTGCAAAGTTTTAAACTCAGACGGTCGACTAAGCATTCGTTTAATTGCCCAGATGTTAAATTTACCAAAATCTGTGGTTCATGACATTGTGACACAGCATTTGAACATGTGTGAAAGTGACCCCCAATTTTCACAGATATTTTTGATTTATTTTTATGTTAAGCCTTTTTATGTTCAAAGGCGTCCAGAAAGAGATACCTATGGCTGTGAAGAAGCGACTCATACGACATTTTCAACAGAAACTTGCGGATCCTTTTTTGTGTTTATCTTGGATTAAAAGAAAATACACTGACATTTTCACTGCTTGTCTAGATGGAGTAATAATAGAAACTCTGTTTTACAGGGAGAAGCGACTTTGTGGCAATGGAACTGGTTCATGGTAAAGCAGTTTTCTCATTTGGCGGAACTAGAACAGCTATTACATCCATAAGTATTGGAGGAAAGACGAACAACTTAGCTGATGGAAACTGGTACAAAATAACAGCAACGAGAAATGGCAGGGTGGTGTCTCTAAGCGTCGGAAGTTGTACTGAACAAGGTGAAGTTTGTGAAGAATGTAGACCCAGTGACAATACTTGCTACGTCGATGATACTGGACCCAGTGGGTGAGTTTTTCAAAGAATACACACAAATTGTATATTATCCATACTTAATTGCATTGCTTTGCCCATTTGAATTTGACTTATAGTTAGAATGATTTCTGTAAAGTAGATCGTTGGCCATAGAATAGTTAGTAATGATTAGATACAACAGTGAATAAGACTGAACACAGCAATTGCACTGGATCAACACCATAAACAAAAAGTACATCATATTACTATAATTACGTCTGTTGGTAGAATTATTTCTTTTCTATTTCAGCACTTTGAACTTCAACAATCAACCTCTCCTTATTGGCGGAGTAATCAGTGCTGACCCAATCCTCGAACGTCCAGGTCAAGTCCATTCTGACGACCTCGTAGGCTGCGTCCATAGTGTCTTCATCAACGGTCGCCAACTCAACCTGAGTCACCCCATGGACTCCCATGGTGTTGAAAACAGATGTGTCCGAAGAAATTCTTGCAGTAAACCTATCAATGATCCTTGCCAAGGCTTTGGGACCTGTATAGATCGCTGGAACTCAGTCAGCTGCAACTGTGGTGCTAATCTCATAGCTCCCAATTGTGATACAGCTTTACGTTCAATCAGTGTCAGCGAAGGAGGGTTTGTGGAATTTGTTATATCCAAGAAGCATAAGAGAATGCAGTTGCTAGAACATATTTATCAAGGCTCAACAATTTGGAGTCATCAGAGGAGCAAGAGGTCGACCAAGCAGCCATTCGGCGAATACACGCCCGATAAAAGGATCAGCTTTTTGTTCAGAACAGTTAAACAGAATGGAATGATCTTCTATGCAACTAGCAATAAATACTACACATCCATAGAATTGATAAACGGACAGTTGCACTACATAAGCAAGCTGTCAACAGTGATCAACATGACGGATACCCATAACACAGTGACGGATGGGTCTTGGCACAACATAACTGTCCATTCACATAGTAGAACTATCAAGATTCTGCTAGACGGTTCTAAGCTAGGCGATGATTTAGACTCTGTAGGAGTCCATGACTTTTTAGACCCTTATCTGACCCATTTATCCATTGGAGGTGCCATAAGAAGCCAATATTACGTCCACGATGAGTTGCCAGATCCATTTGCTGGATGCTTTGCCAATTTTACAATCAACAACGAAATTCAACCGTTCAATGGATCTGGTACCATCTTTCAAGAAGTCTTGTTCCATGGAAGGGTATCCAGGGACTGCAACGGTTTAGTCGGTAAGTAGTAGTAATAGTAGTAAGAAGATTTACTTAGCAAAAATGGCTACATAAACAATTGTTAGTATGTAATACCAAACAATAATAATAAATTCAAACCAGGTACAATTCCAACATATTCTATTTGTCGCTTTGTGTGAATTTAATTCATTAAAATACACTAGTCCTTGATTAAAAACGATTTCGTGCTGCGTTTTTTTTTTAGCGTTTAAATGGAAATCATGCTTGTGTCTGGTATCATAAATATGATAGTCGGCATTTACATAAGTTAGTTTTAGCGCATTCTTTTGATTCATTTGACTACCTTCGCGTACCAAAGTGACAGCGTTGCATCAACATAATAATAATACCGCTGGAAACATCTACCTTCGTTAGACTTGTGCCGATCTTGGCAAAGTATGTAAGAAGTAACATGTTTTGGAATCGTCTAACACCACAGTTATCTGCAAACACTCGCAATTTTAAACAGTAACTAAAAATACGAATTTAATGACAGTCAAGTACAGTTTGACCCTCACTACAGACTAAGAGAATTAGGAGATAAACAAATTATTGGCTGGTACCTACTACCTAGTCTGAATCAGTTGGTGTAAGTAGATATGATAGCAAAAAAATATTTTTCATTTTATGAATAAAAATCATGACTAGGTATTTAATGAAATGTGAATGATTAGCCATTTTAACGTACTGAGTATTTGACTGATTAGCGTATCTCAAATGTTTTCTTAAAATGGTCAAGACCTACACATGGACTCAAAAAGTACAATGGAACTTACAGATACAAGGGTTGGTTCATATGCACCGCCCCTGACTCTTTTGGAGATACGAATTAGATTAATGTTGTCGACAGTAAAACAAGTTTATGCAACAGCGGTGGCGCAGTGGAACTCATAGGCGGGGTCAGAATGTGTGCATGTTGTATGCACACGTGTTCCCTCTCTAGGGTTCATGTGGCCCTAGCCCTTCGAGGTGGTTGGAGTATAAAAAAAGTTATTTTAGTAAGCTATGTTTACAAAAAGTTCAGCTTATATATCAATGTAATGTAACTCCTTAAACTTATCATGTGGTTGTCGTGTTCATAGGACTCCACTGTCTGGCCCCACATATTGTCTTAATTTCTGTTTATTGTATGATGTTTCGCTTAGGGAGGCTGGATGTGGTTATGCAAAGAGAGTGCCCAACCTAGGCGATCCAGGGCTTTCTGGTTTTACGCGGTGTCATCTTAAAATTATTGACCGAAACGGCCTTTAATAAACAGAAATTAAAACATACAATATGTGGTTTCGGCCGAACAATGGAGCATGCTGAACTGTTTTGGCGTTATATTGGTTCATGTATGACAAGAATTGTAGTAGTAAATAATCCTGTTAAGTAAATAACTGTAATAAAATGTCTGCACAAAAGGGTATAGCACCCATTGGTATTTACCAAAATATTGTGGTGGTTGTTGGGGTGTAAGCAACTCCTTGATATTGTCAAACGCTGGTTTCGAGATTCTGAAAAGTAACTACAGAACAATAAAGAAGTGCATCCAAGGCGGACGTGTACTATCACAGGGAGCCATTACTGAAACTGAATCTCAAAACTGCGAGATATTTTTAAAGGAAAACGGGTAAGATAACAAATAATGTATTGCTTCAGCATGAGCTGTACCTCCTGCGTACATATGGCTGCTCTCTACCAAGCCGGCTCTGAATTGGTAGATTACCCGTTTTATTCGCCAGTCCTGTCTCCCAGGGGTTACTTATTATTTCCAAAATTTAAACAACATTGAGTCTAAAAGGAATTTTCAAGTAAGCTACAAGTGCCAGCTGTGGAGCGTTCTTCAGTAGTGGGACAAAATTTTATCAGGAGAAATATTTATTATTGTATATCTTAGTTATTGCTAGATTTACTCTGTAAAATAAGATGCGACTTTTTTCCTCATAAATGTTATTTTACCTTTGGATACAGTCTGATGTCACTGGAGGCCAGGTCTTGCGAATATAGTAGGTAATCTACCAATTCAAAGCTTACTTGCCGTAGAATGGCAATACCTGTACAGGAGGTATGACTGGGAACTTCCCTCGACGTCTCTCTTTTTAGGAGCATCTCGCTATTTTTAAATTAAGTTTGCGTAATAGGTCCCTACACCTACATGTCCGTCTCTGTAGCACAATGCACTTTTTAATGTTTTGGTCAGTCGTTACCGTTATAGATGATCTACCTCCATGTTGGATTTCGCAAAATGTCCTTCCGCACTTGAAACCTCGGCACCAGTATTTGACCACATCATGAGATATTGCACACCCTCCAAAAATGTATTGATGAATTTCAAAGAGCGCCATCCGAATTTAAAACAGGCGGACACATAAACGTAATTAAATTTAATATCCTGGAAACGTAGCCTATTCACAGTTAACAACCATTCATCAAATAAACATCTGCAAAGAGATCAAGGGCAGATCACAGGGATGAACCCTCGCATGCCTATAAATAATCTATATTTATTAATCGACTTTTTCTAGCGGTTTTACTATTCGGACTATAACTACAAGCCACAAAATTTGTATCATCTCTACAACATTTGTACGAATCCAAGCTTTATCCTTTGTTGATGCATTGTAATCATGATAACTATGATATGAGTTTGGTTAGGTGACAAATAAATCAAATAGGTCATCGCCAATGAACAATCTCACACTTGGTAATTTATCATAAACTAAACCATCTTATTTTATTCCAGGTGTAGGCACAGCTGCTGCCACCGATCCTCTGAGCATAGGAATCACCCTTGTGATTGTCTTCTTCGTCGTGTTACTCGTTGCCATATTAGTTTCGTTCGTAGTATTTAGGTTGAGGAAGCAATACAAGGAGAAAGGCGGAAATACAAATAGTCCCGGGATCCACGGCAAGCAGAACGGAAACAACGGAAATGTGATGAACAGTGTCAGTGACAGTGTGCTGGGAAGGAGCATACACAATTCTGATACTATGACCTACCATACAGACGGGGATGTGATCAGGGCAATCGGAGGGCATTCGCTAGTGGGGCCAGAGTTGATTTCGAAAAAGTATAAGGAAAGGTAAGTCGATGATGAGATATTTGTATTGCTTCCAGTCCAATCCTTAGGAGTTGTGAGGACAGAAAAATATTAGCACGAGGAAGTATTTCGGCGCCAAAAGTCAAATTTCAATTTACTTACACTTGATTGTTCTTTGAAAGCTCAAGGTTGTCAATGTCGGCATTTTTGTCCAAAATTCGCCCATCTTCGAATTTGCATCTTGCTATTTTTATACGAGCATTTAGTCACAACATTTCCTAATTCAAACCCATAATTAAACACTCTGAGACACAACATATATAAAAATGAAAGGTAGGATTACCTTTCCATTATCCTTTCATCAGCCAAAATAAAGTCAAGGACGTCATCCCTTAGATTGATTAGAACTGGCATTCATTTGAATTTAGGCATTCAGTGTCGCTTAATCGTTTCCTGATTTTATTGGCAGTTATAAGATTAAGTTAACAAAATGGGAATTTTCGAGATTTCATCTATATTGCACAAACACTATTTAGAATATTTGATTATGTATAAGATATCTTAGAAAGCTACATCATCTTATACCTATGTACACTTTATCTGTTCACTATTTTTTTTCTACAGGCCTACTTGAATATGGTGTGATATTTTCACATCAAACAAAAGTACGTTTGAGCCGTTTGCTATACCGACATTAGGTGTGATAGTTTTTCATCTGTTTCAATGATTCATTATTTGGAAAATATCCTGTAAATCTGATTAGGGAATAGCAAAACGTAAATTCTGAAAACGATTACAATTACAGTTTCAAAAGTAACGATTTTTTACAAATTCTTCAAAATGGCGATAACTCAAAAACCGTGGACAATATAATGACATACAATATGGTTTCTTTGATTGGAAATGATCTCCCCTCCTTCATATCACCCCATTCAGCAACTTTTGGGACATCCTTTAGATCACGCGTACAGAGTATGACTGTATCTTGGACTTGGATCGACCAACTCCAATACCCAATTTGTGAACTATACTTTTTAAATCTTATCCATATGGAAACGCATTTTGCTCTTTTCCAGGGATATAATGCAGGGCGACATCCCCCGTCCGCAACGTCCAGACATTATAGAAAGGGAAGTAGTAACCAAGAACCCTCCAATTCGCGAAGAGCACCACCCTCCGATGCATCCTCAGAATAACCACAGCCACGATCACGCTCCGGCTGACCTCAACTCCGAGATGCCCGAGCACTACGACCTGGAGAACGCGAGTTCCATCGCTCCGTCGGATATCGACATCGTGTATCATTACAAGGGGTACAGGGAAGCCGGGGGAGTGCGGAAGTACAAGGCCACCCCTCCCCCGGTGTCAAGCTATCACCATAAGCACTCAGCAGGCCAGGTGCAGGCGCAGCACAGGCATTCGCCACACCATCCCGGAGGGTATCCACCCAGGGCACCTCCAGTTACTAGTCCCAGGTAAGGAACAACATTGATCAACATGTTGCATCAGAATATACACAATCCAATGCCTGAAGTACCGTAATTCCGCTAACCACTTCTACTTAAAACTATGCAATGCTTTTCCAAAACCACTCCCTGCTTATTTTTTAAACAGGTTGATGAAATTGATGCACGATCTCGGGTCTTGGTGAACAAAGGTGTCATAGGTCAAGTGACATGACTCTATCTATCGAACTCAATCAGTGATTGAAATGTATAGCAAAGTGAACAACCTAGGTATAACTGTTGATCAAAATCTCACATTTGATTCCCACTTGACTCCAAAGATGCGCATATGTTATTTTAGGTTAAAATGTCTTTAGCTCTACAAGAATACATACTGTGTTGCGACATAAAGTGGACCTTGGTTAACATTTTAATTCTTGATAACGGTGAATACGGTGGTGTGGTATATCTAACAAGAAAACCAAAACAAAATACAGACTCTCTAAAATAAATGCTTAAGGTACGCTTGGCAAATCGAAATACCACTTCAATATGGTGTTTGAGCTCATTTGTTGCCATGCTTCCAAACGCTTGAAATCCTTACTTGCTTACTGAATGACTCAATTTTTCAAACGTATTTATGTAACATTTTGGCAACAGTGTAGTTTATAATCATAGAAGAAACTTCCTCCTCTTCTTCTCTTTTTTATGGTATATCATACGAAGCGATACAGCCATGAAGTTCCCTTCAATAGTCCAAATTATTGGATCAATCAGAAATTCATTGAAATACGAAAAAACACATAACCAACTTTTCGTGAAACAAAGCACTTGATATTGACAAAATTATTATTTCATAAATTGTTATTTTTCACGCATGATTCGTATCCTGTAGTAAGTTTAGTAATAGTGATTCGGCGTGACAGTACCATGTAGCTTTTGTGAATATTCACTGGGAAGATACGGCAACTGCGCGGATTTAAAATACTGCACAACATATAATTTAATACACATAAATATGATTAACATTTTCAATAGCGTTACAAAACTTCACAATAAACGATACACCCCAGAAGTACAAAACAGTGATTAATTATAACCGTGATTCACTATGTATCGTTCTGCTGTAGAACGTTAAGGAGTTGGAACTCAACTTTGCGTCTAATTTTATAATTAGTTCATTCATAGGGAGACTATACATCAATATAAATGATAAAAATACAAGAACACAGGAGTTGCTCTTCATTAATGAACAAGCGATAGTTTATCGCATTTTGTCCTTTTCTGAGGATTTCAAGTGTATGTATTTTCTGTGCTCTGGAAATATTGTGATCGTTCTTTTATCAACCCGTATAGAAATTATTGTAACTACAGATCACTATGTCTATTACAGTTCGCGTCCACACCAAAGCACGCCATTGGCCCGCTTGAGCCCCAGCAGCGAAATGAGCGCTCAGCAGCCGCGGATTTTGACGCTGCACGACATCAGCGGCAAACCGCTGCAGAGCGCACTTTTGGCAACCACCAGCAGCTCGGGTGGAGTCGGAAAGGACGTGCTGCACAGCAACAGCGAGCGAAGCTTAAACAGCCCTGTCATGTCGCAGCTGAGCGGACAGAGTTCTAGCAGCACGCGGTTAGTAGATATTTCTAAATAAAAACTAATAACGGAGTCAGTCTTCGAGTTTCTGACTCGATTTTTTCCATACTCACGTTTTTTAGCATGAATCAGTAGCTGCTCAAAACTTTGATTTGGGTGACCACTGTGCTCAGAAATGTGATGTTAATTTAGCACAATTCGATTCACAACAAAACATTGTAAATACAATTCAAATCAGACCCTTCGGTCAATCAAACTTTGAAGAATTCCGATTCAGGTTTTTCATAGAGTATGATGGACTTAACGATCTGAACGCTAATATTGAATTCAGCAGTTGTTTCGATTATTTCTGCACCTGTTTTTAAATATGCTTTCCTCGGTTATCAAGAAACAAAAAAGCAAGGAAAAAAATCGTTTTTCTGATGAACTTATAATAGAACTAAATAACCTTGCAATACTGAACTGGATAAAAATAACTGCAACGACGAAGTGGTTCGGCAAACGTATATTTAATACGTGAAAAAGGACCTCTGTAAAAAAATTAAAGATGAATAATCTGCATATCACAATCAACTCATCAATCATTCAAGAAAAAAAATAAAACTACGTGGTTGATAAATCAATAAATTTCATTAACAAACAAATTAGCAGAAACAAACGTATTACTATAGCTATCGATCGCAATATCGTATATGAGCCCGAACATATTTATGGTTTAATTATTCGGAGAGCGTCTTAAATCTGTGAAACCAGGTAAACGTAAAAAACTGATATTTCAACGGTCATCTTTCTGAAGCATGTACACTTCCAAGCAGGCTTGTTCCAAACAGCATATATCTCTCTATGTTGACATTTTTTCGGAAAAAAAATCGAAAAGACACAATGCAAAGTAATATTTTTTTAATAAAAAACATTCATGCAGGTGTGATAATCCTCATCTTCGACTCGGATTTTTGTTGTCACCAACCCTCATGCTTCTTGTTAAAATATTGACCAGTAGGTATCAAAATTTCCATATACTCGTAGATCCGTATCTATAGTAACGATTGATCAAAAATGTGTATTTGTCATCTTGACATGCAAAAATATCGAATTTTAAAGGTGGGGAAATATTCCACCGAATTACATTCGTGCATGTAAATAAACCTGATAATTCTCCATTCAAGCATGTTGTCAGTAAAAATCACATTCGGTTATTTTCATATTTTGTTAAAAGAACGCTCCTCCTCCGGAGTCGGGCTCTGTCGCCACAATATGAAAATAGAAACAAACTCGTACAGTTTTTAGACAACACGCTTTCATGGAAAATTATCGCTAATTTTGATGCACTTATGTAATTACTCCCGAAAATTTTCCGTTACCTAGACAGCGGGAAATAGTCAGTGAAAATTGTGCAGTCGATATGGAAAATTTTCCTATAGGTCCGTATCTGTAGTTACGATTGATGAAATATGCATATGAATAACAATCAAAATTGCATCAAAATAAACCTGATAATATTCCATCCGAGCATGTTGTCAGTAAGAAACCGCATTCGGTTGTTTTCATATACCGGTATTATTGACTGTCCTACCCGTACTGCAGCGGTGACCGCTGCCACGTAGGTATAGGAAAGAACACCGTTGCCAGATGGTAAATACCGGTAGGGCAAGGAAACAATGTCTATGCAACGATTGTATCGACCTTGTTGACTGACATGGTCCGTTTAATTCCTCTGTTGTATATGTTCATAACTATTCTTTTGTCTCACGGGGTTTAACTTGTGCAGAATCAAGCTACTCGACGCCATTTTTTTGAAATCACCCTGTTTAATGAAATTCCTTTTTTGTCTAACAGGAAGGCTGCCGCCCCACCTCCAGGGGTTAATTCTACCTCACTAACCGCCGAAGAGATCGAAAGACTGAATTCCCGCCCTCGCACCTCTAGCCTTGTCTCCACTCTGGACGCCGTTTCCAGCTCGAGCGAGGCACCACAAAGGGGCGGGAATAACCACATGAGCCATATGCGCCATTCACCAGGTAGGTGTTAAGGGTCAATAGGCTCCACGAGATGTTTGATTGGATTGACATTAAATTTAAACCTCGGTTCCAAAGGAGAATATTAAAAAGTTTACGGATGAATCTTGGCCGCTTGCTATTTTCATTTTTTCAAAAACCTTTTCTATATATCTGCTTGATCGATTTTGACACTTGAGAGGTCCTTAGATTCATCACAGTAGCAAATTAAAATCATTCTTATCGGTAACTGCAGCCTACTTTTTGTATTTTTTGAACATGTATAGGATGTCCGGCTATAAATTGACCCCCTCCAAGTTCTTTATGAACTTTTAGAAGAAAAAGTTGTATATAATAGTTGTAGGGCTAATATGAAGTTATTCGTGTAATATTTTTTTGTATATCGGGTATCTCAGAAAGGTGCTATCGATTAAAGTTGTATTTTTTAAATAGAACACCCCATATTTTCAGTTAAAATGATAATATTTTTTTCTGACTCCAAATATTCAGGGTGTTAATTTTAAGACAAAAAGTTCATATAAACATAGGCCGGCAAATTCTTCGATCTCAAGATACAAGGTGTTAAAATTTAAAAAAAAAACGGTATTTCGTAAATATCTCGAATATCCTTTATCTAATTTTGTTGTAATTTGGCGGTGGTATGTATATAATATTAAAGAGCTAATTTAGTCCTATCTTGATTACATTTATTAAGACCAATGGTGTCTCGAGCGGGATCTAAACGAATATTTGTGACAAAAAATGTACGCCACTGTCTTTTGTGCAATTTTTATGTTCTTTCGGTTAAGCCAATAGAAATACAAATATTTTTCCTCTTGAATTTTTTTCGTATCTTGCTTAGTTTTCGAGAAAATAAAAGTCCACTTGTATGCAATTAACGGCGTATCCCTGGACCACACAAGGAATATGGGGAAAAGTTTCTTTTTGAAATTATTATTTTTTTATCATTTTGTATTACTAATTATGTAACAACAACAATACATACTAAATAAGATTAACATACGTACTACTAAAAACTTCTCACCCTGCATGTCTTATATGTTGCAAAAGTTACGTCGCTAGATAGCTTGAGCATTTTTGACGAGTTTCATGTTACTTACTACAAAAGCTTTAACTTTCCGACAAAAAATAAACGTTTTTTTTTTGCAATAACCAATTAATCGTTGCAGCGAACTAGACAAATCTATTAGTTCTCACTTTGAAGGTGAATTTAATTTGCATTCAATCTAAAGAATATACTCCTTTGTAAAGTCCTTCTGTACAGTTTCTTTTACAGCAGGTTTCACTTTATGCTAGTTAGCCTAGTCAAATAAGTATAATGACTTTTGTAGATAATATATTGCAACAACAGGTTCCCGGTTTTTCAACTCAGATTCTACTCCACACATTTTCGAATTGCAGACCTCTTGTTGTGTTTGGAGTTACATAACAGTCATTGGATGATTGGAATTTGAAAAATGAGTTTCGCTGGATTTCCCGAACTTTGAATCCTTCAAATAAACTCTTGACTACGTCTTAAAATATATCAAAAAACTAAGTTTGACTGATTTTGAACTTCGCATGAGTGTTTCAAAAATGTAATCATAGTAGTTTTCCATATCCATATAAATTCTCAAATAATCGGGGAGGACTCTGTACCAATGGATAAGACATTGAAATCCAAACAGAAAGAGAAATATCAAGCATAGTCGAGTAGATATGAATTGTGGAACTTGCACCAAAAAATTGTTTTAGCTGCACCCCCCCCCCTTCTGTGGGTACGCCCTTGAATCTGACGCATTATTTTGATTCTAGTGCCAGAAACCCACCATAGCAGCACAACCACAACCGACGAGAGCGGCAACGACAGCTTCACCTGTTCGGAGATCGAATACGACAACGCGAGCATCTCCGGCGAAAAGTCAGAGTCGCGTCGGAACGATTCTAGCTCGGGGGGCAATAAGAGCAACATCCCACCACCCTCGTACGACGGCTTCGACTCGTCTTATCGGGGCTCGATGAGCACTCTGGTGGCTTCCGATGACGAAATGGGGGGCCCGTTACCCCCCAGCACTGCGCTCGGCTGGGACTACCTCCTGAACTGGGGACCGAACTTCGAAAGTCTTGCTGGCGTGTTCAAGGACATCGCCGAGATGCCGGACTCTGTGAACGGGAGGATACCGTCGTCGATGAGGCTAACCAATGCTCAAAAGCCCTCGGAGGAATATGTATAATATTGGGTTATGGGCTGTCGATGGGAATACGGTTTAGTGTAATTTTGTATCGGAAGTCCAGACTATTTCGTGTGACATATATAGCGTTGTAGCAACAGAAATAATATCGGTGACTCATTTATTACCTATAATGAATTGGAGTGAAGGCTGCGGTCTTCACGTCCTTACACAATATACAATGTTTTGCTTTCTTGCGTTGATGTGACAATTCTGACACAAATCATACTTCTTGCTCAGTTTTGACACTACACCTCATGTACACATTTTGTTGGCATAAAGCATGTCAGCTTATTCATATCTAAATTATAAATAGATAATGAAAGATCAGGATCTATAGGCGGGGTTTTCGAATGTGTTCATTCAAATATTTTAGTACATTATGTACTTCAGACTAGCATCAACATTTTTATTTTTGTACTTGATTATTTTTTAAATCTGCAAAGTCCGCAATTTTGACATTTTTGTCCATAGTTCACCCATTTTCGGATAATTACTTATATATTCTTATATATGCGCATGATGGCAACACTTTCTACAGTTGCTCAACTGCGGTCATCATATAAACAAATAAAAGTGGAGGTTTCATTATACCTATGTATTTATTTGTTACAACTTTCATTTGTAGTGTGAGCGCAGTGGAGCAATACTTTTATTTTTATATAATTACGTTTTGTATCATGATGAGTTTTATTATAGACTTGAGGTAGCAAGTGTCGCGACCATGCGCTCATATAAAAATAGTAGGTATACCTGTAACATATATCCGCAACTTCGTTCACCTAAAATTGTTGAGCTATACAAAATTTTGAAACAAACACATCAGACTAAACCAAATTTTACATTGTAAAAAGTATCGGCTTAGTCTCTAGTTAGAAAAGATAAATATTTTGCCCTTGTCACAAAATCCTTTCTTAAATTTTTCTCCAAGGAACTTCATTATAACCAATTTTAAGTATTTAGCAGAACATTTCGAGGAATTCCAAACAAACACGCCCCTTAATAAGAGGGTTAAAGGGTTTTTAACTGATATCTACAGCCTATAATCTACCTTCCTGCCAAATTCTAGGTGTCTAGTAGATGCAGTCCTCGAGCTTCCGTGACTAATGGGTGCGGACCTTTTCGCTGTTACCCCTTACCCGTCCCTGCTAAGTTTCATGTTCATACGACAAGTAGTTTCTCAGGCAAATTTCTATAAACTTAATTTTAAGTGATAAGGTTCTCCATAGAAACATTCAACCTCACCTAGCCCATCTGAAGGATAAAATTCACCTCTTAGTGGTGGAATTTCCAAAATGCCTCTGCAACTGCTCATTTACATTATATAAAAGAACCAAATACAAAAATCCCATACTTGTGCCTCTATCTTAAAGAATAATATCCCCACAGTAACTATCACCCCCTTCAAGTTGAATGTTTGTAACAAAAGGTATCCTATGTCTGTTTCCGAGGTTTGATTTATATCTGTGCATAGACACTTTCGCATTTACAATATTAGTGAGGATATAAAAAGTTAAGTATTCGAAAATGGGTGAATTTTGAATAAAAAAAGGTTAAAACCCATACGTTCCAAAATATTCAATTTTATTTATTTTCAATGTTGAGCCTCACTTATAGACCCTGATTTTGTTTTTCAAAACGCATAGCGTTTTCAAGTATCTAAGCGAATATGCGTTGCTTGCATTACATTGGTTGGGTCAATGGTCTCAAATTCTCTTAGCACATTTCTTGTCATAGGCTGAAAAGCGCATAGCTTATTTCTGCATAAAAACAACAAAAAAATAGCCAAAAATCAGAAACAAGAATATCAGTAAACGTATTTACCCGTGATAACTTCCGCTTTATTATAATCATTTTTGAGAAAATGTGTTTGAGCTCCTCTCAATTGTTCAGTAACATAACCGAAAATGCATGACATTGTGTTGCGAATATCTTAAAGGATTGGAACCAAAGTCATTCTAATCAAGTACGAGTTCTGTTGAAAAATTATACATGTGCAGTAACTTGATCATATAATAGGTAGGTAGTATCAATTTTGGCACTTCCCCATTTCTGAGATAGCCCCGGCAGTTTAAACCCAAGAAAAGACAGGAATGATGGTAAAATGTTAATGTTAATGAACTATTTTGTTTCTTTTTTATTCGATATGAACTGTTTTCCACATTACTGGCACGTCGCATCCACAATTTAATACGCATAAGTGTAGTTTTACAGATTTTGAATTATGGTGTTATTTCACCTTCAAATGCATCAAATAAGATAAAAATGTACGTAAATCTGTAAAAAATATGTTTTTGTATATGGTAAAAAAAGTAACCCAGCCTGAATAGCTCCTAAAAATCCTTGGTTCGGGACAAGTTAATCTCAGTTTTTTTTTTAGTGATGATACCGATACTGTTTTTGTGGCTGTTCTTTGTAAATATTAATATAATGTATTGTATACGATTCAGCCATATTTATTTACTGTATTTCCAGTGAACTAACTGCCATTATTTGCTACAACAATAATGCAAACTGGATCTACATATACTATTGTTTTCTTCAAATTAAAACCAGAAGATTAGCACTCTATAAATTTTCTAGACAAATACATATTAAACCACCGTTTACAAAACTGAGCTGTTATAGTTGATATACATAGTTGTGACTTTGTGATATAATTTAAGTAGAACTGTTCTGCGAAACCATCGATGGCACAAGACTCGCAAGTTTTATTTTCAAACTCACTAATGCCATAAACATTAAGAGCTGTTTGAGATGTACAATGCAGCGTTGCAAATAAACGCAGATTTACAATGGATTATTCAAAATAACCAAAAACTATATTTAGATCTCGTTACATTTATCTGGCCATAGTGAAGCTCCGTTTACAAAATGAAACAACAGATAATATGCTTTTTCGTGAAACGTTAAGAAGTTATTCTAAAAATTCAAAAAGAGGTACCACAATGTTCCTCATTCAACCTGTAACTGAAAGCGGAAATATGTATATAAAATTATTTTGCCTATGTCCGGTCATATCAGTATCTACTTTTATTTGTAAATCTAATGTATATTTATGGAAAAACGATGTTAAGGCCTGTCCCCACTTGGTATTCAACAGTTCCAACAATGATTTTTCAACACATCGAAATTTAAACGAAAAATAGCAAATCCTACATGCGAAAATATCGAAGTTCGAAGTTGTCTGTGGCCAAATGAGAACAGGTCTTAAGATACACAATGACGTCAGATGTATATTTCGTGTGTGTGTGTATATATACATGTATATATATATTTGTTATGGACTTTCGATACATAGAATATATCTGTATTGCCCAGCCCTAGATAGACTTATGTACGTTTGCATATAGAGACTGTTATTCGAATTTTCGTGTTAGCCTTGTATCAAGGATTTGTGTAATATCTCTTGCCATATCTTTTGTATTATTATTTGTATATTTTTATGTCGTTTCCTACAAAACTACAGACTGTAAATACTTAAACATATTTAATAAAAAAATTCTAACTGTAACGGTGCTTGTAACCTTCAAACCTCCATTCATTGAGCAGCAACAATTGCCCCTGTATTTTGTAAACTTCCCCCGAGTTGACATGGTATTTTCAAAGTATGAGTTCGCAGATCGGCAAGGTTATTACGTAAAAAACCTATATAATGTCAAAAGAAACGATAAAATGTCAACTTGTTGACTAAGTAGGCTAGTGTGCAAATAGTTCATTCATTCCGCGCTTGCTACAAGTGAGCATGAAGTGAACGACAGCTAGTTCCAAGTTGACGTCTTGTAGGAATACCTACATAGTGTCATAAAAATAAAAATAAATAATGTCATTTAGAAACCGTCATAATGTCACGTTTCAAGTTACGTTATACCCCTGCCGCATCATACGTGCTGGACTTTTTACACTGAGCGGATCAATTTATGGATCACAAAAGCAGCTGTCGTTTGCAATATATACTCAGTGACATTAGAAGTGTTGCACCCATATAATTTCTCCAATTTGATTTTTTGGCAATGAGGTAGTCTTACATAAAGAATGAAACGATAAAATTCTTACCAAACTTTATTGACAAAAGTAGTAAGAAAAAAATTAATAATGTGTCGGGCGGTCCCGCAGCTGAATACACTCCTGTATACGTCTAGGCATCGACAAAATGAGATGATCGATGTCGTGGATTAGCTGTGGCGAATGCAGAGCGGATAACCTCCTCCCTATCATGACCGACAGATGTTCGATGGGATTTAAGCCCGGTGAACGTGGTGGCCACGGCAAAACATTAACGCCTACTTCTTGGAGAAAGTCCGTAGTACTACGAGAAATATGTGGACGTGCGTTATCTTGCTGCAAAAGGACGTGTGGACGACCCTCTAGTTAGCGCAATAAAGTGGTTTGTAGGACATCATCAACATAACGCGCAGCAGTCATATTGCCTTGAACAAAGAGAAGGGGTGATCGGCGCAATAGCCCCCCAAACCATTACTCCAACAATCTTGTGAACATGACTCTCAACAGCAAATCCAATATCACGCCGTTTTCCACGGTTGCGTCTTACCCTTCTTTGACCATCGCGCGTACCTAGTACCCAGTGCTGCCGTTCTCTGCTCCAGTTCAAAGGTTGACGACAGTGGCGTTGTTCGTGTTCCTCTACCTTCTTCTATCCACACACGCATCACCGTCATTGGAGTACAATTAAAATGGCGGGCAATTTCGCGATATGTGCCAGGCAATTGTTATGTTTATACTAGTAAATGAAAGGACAATAACTAAAAATAATTGTACTACGCAGTTCTCAGAAACTGCTTTCTTCACAAAAACTACGAGATAACATTTAAACAAAGGTGAACAAAAACAAAGATAAAACGTTGACATTGTTGCCAAAGCATGCTTTAAATATAGTCATTATGTTGCCAAAAGAACAAGTAGAAGAGACTATTTTTTCTGGGTCTAACACTTCTAATGTCACCGAGTATATTTTCAGTAGCACTAGGATTTATATAATTTTGTCAGATGTTCAATCCTGCAGGATAAACATATGTATATAGAAAACCTAGAGCTTACTATATGGTGCTGTATTGCAATAACTTTTTGGTTTTGACCTTTATCTACAGCACTGAGAAGAAAAAATAATTAAACCAATTAAAATTTTAATTAACATAATTAAAACGTTCAAGTAACTGTGTGACAGCTAACAAGTTTAATTAGTTTAATTAAACTCCGCCGAAATAGACGTCTGACACGTGCTTTTGTAATCTAACACCATTGTGTTACTTTCTGACACATCATGGCGACAGAGGCATACTAACTATAAGTTATAGCTATAGGAACTGAGCACTGCGATTTTTTGGTATCCCTTGGTATTCCAAATGCTGTTCCCCTTTGACTTCACTTAGTTTACAGCACAATCCTTACGAATATATTAGCTGTTCAGATTGCACTTAAAAAGATTTATGTTCTATTTGTTGCTCAATAGTAATTTGAAAAGTGTGTAAGGCTTGACTGATTTTGTTCGGGGTTGGTGTTGCAGCGAAGCACAATGTTAGATGAACGGCTAAATTGGAAATAGACACTTATGAGATATGTTTAGCGGAGCGCCTGTAGCCTGTCCAGAAAATGCGTTGATCGATGCTAAAAGTCAATACCACACGTCCCGCATCTCTTCCCGCGTATGTGCTTATTTATGTTGCTATACTGAATTCGTTTAAATCTCAGAGCTTCTGCACTACACGTGAATCTTGTCAGCCCTGTATTCTTGTACTTGTTTCGTACAGACATACATTATCAAAATAATTAAGATCTAACGCATATAGTTTTTTCCGAAGATTTTCAACATTTTTATAAGCGATCAACACCTATTCGAAAACTGAGAAAACAACAACTAAGCCATAAATCTAAGCTCGACAACGAAAGTCTGAAGAATAACTGTAACATCTATATTGAATTTCAAAGAATAATTGACTCTACCTATGGATATTTTTATCAACTGCTGATATAATAGAAGTGCTTGATTGTAAAAGTATTTGCACCAATTACTTGATTTGTTTAATGGGCAGTTCAGAGTCTTAATCCTTAAACTTAGCACACACTAGTAGACCCCGTTGCGCAATTTGCCTATAGACAGTCTGGGGACGGTCTCAAGGCGATCTATTGATGGTTTATAGACATCCTTCTTGGTCTCGTCTAGCGTCCATACGATAATGTGAATTTTTCGGTTTCATGCTCGTTTTCGCCACCAAAGACATTGTTTTGTGTGGAATGGACTGGGATATGTCTCGGGGTCCTTCACAATATTTTTTTTTCAGATAACAGAGCAATGAAGTTTTTTATATTTTAATCTGTTAATATTATTACACTAGATAATTATAAATGCCACGTACTTATTTTATGATGATATAATAAAATATTTCCTTTCTGGAACATTTTCCATGGTTTTTTTTCAAGCTGGCATTGACCAGATATAACAGAATGGATTTAAGGAGCAATAATAGGTAAATTCTAGAAGTTCCACTGAGGTTGAAAAATTGCGCCCCCCCCCTAGACGAAATTCTAAATCCGCCCTTGGCTATGATTGATGTTTGCTGACGTTTAGGCAACACGTACAGCTACAAAACGAGTTCATAACTAGTGTACAATAGCTTGTAGAAAAACCTACATTATGTCACAAACAACCGACAAAATGCCACTTTTCAAGATACGTAGTACCCGTGCCGGTTTCAAAAACAATTTACATGAATCTGTAAAACTGATTGAATGAAATCAATACGCAATCATTAATTAAATTTATTAAACCGTTTACTTAGATTGAGTACACCGATTTATTTAAGATTAATGAGCTATTAAAATGAGCTCACCTGATACCAAAACAATTTAATTATATTTATTATATTTGTTTAATTACTGTATGTAAAAATGCCTAGTTTTAATGAATTATTTTATTTAGATTTAAAAGTAGATATATTTGACATTTAGAAGAACACATTTCATTTTAGTAAATAAAGATATATGTATAAGTGATTGGTAGGGATGGAACCATTCTTAGGATCACGCACAGGGGAGAACATAGAAGAACTAAATTCAATCATAAGTTTTGCTGGAATATACATCAAAATCAGTCAAAAATACATTTACGGATTCACGACTGTGAGACCCATCGAGTACGATTCTGACAGACATTTTATTCATTCCATTCCCATTGGCCATGAACAACGAATTCAGACTAGGTAGAAGGAGCCAGTTAAGGATTTGTTTGTCTCATCATCCTCATAGTCAGCACTGAGGATCAAAATGTACTTGACATTAGGTACATTTTTTCACAGTTCTGTCATTAAATTCGTAGTAATAGTGTTATTTTTTTAAAAGTGTGAGTGTTAGTGTTAGCGGATAATTGTGGTGCTGGACGACTTCAGAACGTGCTACTTCTACATAATTTGCAACTAGTAGCACAAGCCTAATGAAGGTAGGCATTGGTGGACAAATTAGTCAAAAGTATCTATTAAAACTACGCAATTTTGGTACCAAACGATTCAACGTAAAGTCTTGGCTCCTGATCTATTCGAATTCTTTGGTCGTGAATGCTTCTTTAGATTTCTAGTCCGAGGTTAACGAAGTGATTGATGTAGCTGTCGGCATTATAGCGATTTTAGTCATTCAGGGAAACAAATTGAAGGCTATTCAGAAAGATTTCAACTTACCAGAATATCAGCTAGTCCCAACTCGTGAGTATTCGTTGGAATTCTACTTTTTTATTTACTGGAACGATGTTGGAAGAAAAACGGGCTGTTTCACTCTACGTATCCGATCTCAATCGCACGCATAACATAACAGCTAAGCAATGGGAACTTATGACAACGTGTGTTCTCAAACCTTTTGAGGAAACCACCTAAATTTCCAACGCAATATGCTTATGCATATCGGAAGTCATACCACATGCTGCCGCATTGCGCAGATACCTGAACAAAGATGAAACAAAAATCGCCTAATCTCTTGAATATGATCTCTTCAATGAAAGAGGAACTAGAAAGTTGTTTTAATTGTAACAAGGAGCACAATCATATCAAGAACTACTTACTAGCAACTCTATTGGACCATTGACTTTAATAATATTTTATTGAAATAAAAGGTTTTTATTATTATTAATACTATCCTGGTCGAAATTCCTGGAAGCCTTAAAGTAGAAATGTGAAGATTCTTCCAGCAGTGTAGAAGATACTCCCCCACCTAGCAAGAAACTAAATATAAACTATGCTCACAAAACTTTACGGGATTGTTTCAACGGAGCGGCGTAAGCAAACACCTTGGACTATGAGGGCAGTCAATTGCAAACAGTATCAAATTTTGCCAGATTTGTTAAATTATATCTGTGACGTATTCCTGTAGCTGCAACAGTGAGAGATTCTTTGTGCATATTGTACGAGAAACAGCGAAACCGGATTTTCCTAGCGATCCCAGGAAAACTGGGTGTCATAAAACTCAATTTTATTACATTCTATGTCTAATCTTCTCTATCATTGGTAGATTCCAAGCGAGACAAACTTGTTTGTAGCTGCAATGAATTTCTTAAGCTTACCACAATAGGTAGATAAGTTAATGTGACTAAAATATGTGATATTCCTGTTAATAATGTCATTATAATCATTTTGAGATATGAGTGAATGGATTTATAGTTGAGGAAATGCAAAAATCTGACTAGCGAAATTAAGTTCAGATATAATTTTTGTTGCCCCTAAATTCGGGTTGCTCCTAAAATAGGGTTACTTCACTGAAATTTTTATTGCTTCGTATTTTATATGCAAATAGTGTATAACAAAATATAAAATAAAATATACATCTTTCGTTATACACTTTTTCCAATAGTCTTTTTTCAACTAGAGTGTAAAGTGAGGTTCAGTTTGCATGAGTTAAGGAGAATTTTAAAATGTGTACAAAGTATACTTTTTTGTTTTTACTGGAATTGATGATCTGCTGTTTATATCATTGATTTAAAGATGTTATGGAATCTGCAAAATTGTAATAGTATCATTCACTGACAAGCCTGTATTTCAAAAGGGAGTATTTGAATTTAATAAATTAAATAACTATATTCAGCAGTGTTATAATTTAAAAATCACTTTATGAATATCCAAAATGTAATTTTAATAGACAAGAATGTATAATTACATAAAACTCATTCAAGAAATGTGTAAAAGAATAATCATACAAAATTGACATTGTAACATTAATGCTAAATAACAAACAATCAAACAAATGAAACCAATTCTAAAATCAATTTAATAAGAACAGTCTGATGCGTCTGATGAAGTCCATGGACGCCTACCTTTATTCAAATGTGGGGTGCTACACATTTTTTTCTTCATAATATATGCAAATAAATACTAATCTCGATAATGCAAAAATGTTCTATTATTGTATTGTATTGTTCCTCAAATAGATATGTTAAGAAAATGAAAGGTTTTTATATGAGGTAATAAAAAAACTTTAATAAAAACGTTTAATCTTTACACATACAAAATAAATATATTGGTCATAACATATAAAAGTGTATAAACAATCCCTTTGAAGATAACAGGAGGAAACTATTGACAAACAAATTCAAAATCATACTGCTTTCAAAATGAACAGCAGGTCTAGTAAAAATATTCCAGTCACATTCTCCACAATCAAATAAGATTATCTAAGACTAGCAACAATGAAACCATTTTCAAGTGCTATTCTTCACAGTCCATGATCAGGCAATGCGTTAAATGGAGAATTGCAACTTTTGGCACAAGGTCAACTCCTTTGCTTAACACAATATCCTTAGATATGGAGACTCTACTACACTCTATTCAAATCTGAATTACGCTGCGTCAAAACAACCACCAGTCCGTGGTTCTCAAAATCTCACGGCCAGCATTTCATAAATGCCGGATATTCGAATAGGAATTAGATCAGTTACTAGTTATGGTTACTGCCATGTTTATTTTTTAAATGAGTAACCAATGACACTTTCTGCGCAAACGATAAACTGCAATATTCACAAATAAAGGGCCGCTCTTTTGTATGTTGCCGACTGTGTATCTTTAAGGCGTACGTACTTGTGAAGCCCTTCTTACAATGAGTACAGAGGTAAGGTCGTTCACCAGTATGGGTCAGCAAATGTTTCTTCATATCCCTTACGCGTTTACCACACACGCTGCACATTACCTTGCGAATATTTGGGTCTGAAATACATACAAAAAAGTAATTGAAAAAAATGAACAATGAAAAAAAGATTTACAACATTCAACAATACAGAATTTGTTCTGCCAGTATCGTTTTTCTTAAACAAATATTTTCACTTGAGATACATTAGGGAGTAATGGTCGTATATATTTATCTGAAAATTACTATTAGCCACGGTTACAGTACCTTAACGAATATCATGAAAAACAAGATTTACACATATTTTTATGACCGCAAGATTGTGATGTAATTTTCCTGTTAAGCAACAATCATCTTAAATTTAAGGAAAATTAGCATAAGACTCGGAAGTAACGGAAATCAAAAATCGCAGGAATAAAGTTTCTGAAACAATCCACACAGACCAGAACCCCAACAAAATGAGAGAAAGGAGCATTTTGGAAGGAAAAATGAGTAGAATATGAGTGGTACAGAAACTTCTTTGGTCATGTCTTTGATATGAATGACAATACTCCAGCCCTATGCTGTTGAAGATTGAAAATCAAAGAGCGTGTGGGGTGGTGTGACTTAACCAGAGTTCTGAAAGTGAATGCCAGCAATTAGACAGTTGAAAAAGAGATTACTCAGTCTGTTCGATTTATTAGAACACTCAAGTGAGCATATATGAGGGGGAGACATTACTGTATTGTGAAACGTCCGACAAGACTAAGAAACATTTCGTCAAGTAGGTTAACTCTAGACCTCCCTGGCAACTCTGTCATCAGTTCCTAAAGGATTATGCTTGGCACAACTTAGCCCCTGGTACCCCTGGGTACCCTCATGTATACCCAAAAAAATTAAATGAATCAATTCAAACAGTCCCATACGGCAAGTCCATAGCCCCACATATTTGACAACGTTGCGATCTAGAAATTTATCCATACAAAGTTTGTCATGGGCAGCCGCAGGGGGTGCCGGGGGAACCATGGTCCCTCCTGAAAGGATTGAATATTAAAATTTGCATATTTAGCATGATATTGTGTACAATTTTGGGGATTGTTAGGATTTATGACTCCTGCTCTTCAAAAAATTTTGGGGGCATGTACACTTTCACAAAAATTTATCTCTTGCCGGTGATCAGCCCCCAAAACGTTGCTTGGACTAATCTCCCCGTTCGTCAGCCCGCGATTACAGTGCCTCTTTGCCAGTGGTGTGGAAATTGAAAATGATGATTTGAAGAAGCAAATGAGGAAAAATGATTAGCCAAAATAATAATCAGTACAAACGAGAAAAATTAACCCGTGGACGCTAAAATAGATCCAATAAAGTATCAGGCCGAAATATTTTCTGAAATGATGGTTTATAAGAATTTAGAAGAGATTGAGTACATAAAATGTAAGTTTTTAGTCACATATCAGTTAATTCAGCAAAATCTAAAGACGCTAATAACTTATAAACCGCAAAATTTTGACACCCAGTTAATGGGGACTAATTTAAAGCAAATGACCTCTAGTGTAATCCTTTTTACAGAATAGGTCAAATTTCTAGTGATCTTACATACATAACAGGAACTGTACTCACCAGCATGACATTTCATATGCCTATGAAACTCTGACTTGATCTTGAATATCCTAGCACAAATCTTACATTCAAAAGTAAGACCTCTGTGTAAAATCATATGCCCTCTTAATGACTCTGAGTTCTTAAATACTTTGTCACACACCTTGCAAGTTACTGGATCCTCCAAATGTTTCTGAATGTGTTTTTTCAAATTATCTGATCTGATGACAACACCACAATAGTTGCAAATTGCTGGAGTTGTATGTAAACCTCTCTTGTGGCTGTACAGTCTTGAACGGGAAGGAAATACTATATTGCACTTTTCACATTGATGTACTTTTGATTTGTTTCCTCTACACTTACTGTTTGACGTTTCTGATTTAGGATCATGCTCCTCATCATCTTCATCATAAGGAGCATTGTCAGAATCACCCTCTTCATATTTGATATCTTTGATATCACAGCACTCATCATCTTCTGCTACAGTCTGATTATGGTTAAGTTCATCTTGCCTCTCATCCAATCCATCTTGTTTACAATTAAAGTCATCAGAATTCTCATTGTTTTCATCTGGTTGTGTAGGTTTCATACGTTTTTTTCTTGACCTGGTCATTTTTTTTACAGGTTTAGCTTCAGACCGTTCCTGTTCTGATTGTTTCTGTTTCTGCTTCAGTTGATCATGCTGCTCTCTCATTTCCTTATCACTATTTATAATAACTTTACGAAAGCAGAAGAATTTATTTACATTTTCTGCACACTCTTCACATATGACTTTTGAGTACTCATCAGTTAAAGAAATCTGGAAGAGTATTGTTGGTTAGCAAAATACACCCAATTATTAATCTGCTTCACTAACAGCTATTTTTATATGATGTTAAGCATGCATCTCATACACACAAATAGTTGGAAACAGTTTAAATGTGTAAGATTTGAGCTTCATAGAAAATCTTGTAAATGAAAATCCTATGCCTAACAATACTGTTTAGCAGTAATTTTTAATTCTTTATATGGTAATGATCATAGCTTGCAATTGGTCACCACATACTTAAGCATTGTGCAGCAGCACTCAACTGAGGCACATAGGATTTTTGGCCTGCAAAGAAGGGCAGTTAAACTATATAGAGAAAGTTGCAGATGTAGGTATATGAATGGTCGTTTTCTAAATGTGCTATCTATGCATATGTTAGAATGTTGTAGATATATGGTTAATAGACAATTTTGTTCCTTCAATAAGAGTTCATATATGTTATATATCAGTGTTATTGGCCTATCGGACATTTGTTCCTTTCCATACACAAGCGCGTGTATTTTGTTGGATTGCGTATGTGGGCCACAAACAAGTCTATTGGTGGCTATACACACAACATATTAACATATAGCTGACTAGTATGATACAATTGCATAGGGAAGACATGATAACTGTATAAACAGTACTTCTGCCAATATTTGGTGCACATTATCGGCAGTACAAATGGACTGCAACAGTAACATTTAAAGTACCTACAATGACATGCTCGTTTTGACTGCCTTCCTTTTAACTCCAAAAAATACAGATATAAAAATATACAGCATCTGGTGGTAAGAACATGTGCCATTCTGCAAGCCCAACTTATACAAGTAACAGCATAGAAATTGCAACATCTTTCCCTACAGACCTTTATGTAAGCATGTCATAACATTTACATTTTCTGTTAGGTTGCATCAAGTTTGAAATACTGTATAGGAATCTCAAAAATAAGGAAAACTAGTATGGGAATATTTTGACAGTTACTGATTAAAATGTCTGGGAAAAGCAGTAAACACTTCTAATGTGAAGGTATAGGTATAATCATTGAACAATTCAGATAAACCTGAAGGCTGAAAATTGCTATTAAACTTCTTTTTGTTAGACACATAATGGAAAGAGATTGCTTCACACAATTAAAACATATTTGTCTGTATTGGTTTATTTTTACTTTGAAGTTTATATCAGTCAGCCCATATTGGCATACCCACAGTTATATTATCTGATTCATATACCTGTATAATGGGGATATTGCCAATATGTTGATAGACACATCAGTATCAGCGAATGAATAGTTATTGTGACTTGTTAAGTAAGTATTAATGTGATTTCTACTAATTATTTAATGAAAGCAATTTCTGCATCTCAAATGAATAAAGTCCATACTCTGTATACTGAGTATGACATTTATTACAATGCCAAATAAAAAAACACCTAGCATCTCACTGAAACATAAATACCTGTATTGATGATATTACTTCAATCTTTGACACCAAGCTTCGATCTGTAGACAAATCCAACATTTTGCTCTCCCCAATTCTTAAACATGTACGACATGTGTTTTCCATAGTTGCTAAAACATAAAATATTCTCACGTCTACATATACAGAGAAATCCATATACCACTGATGTCTCAATGTGTACGAGAGAGAAGCGCGAGAAGCGTGCAATACATATGTTAGAAGGAGATAGAAGCATCACTTCTTACAGCCTAAGTGACGGAGCCAGGCGCGGCTGCGGCTTGCCGCGTTGCCATCGGCGCACTCTTTCTAACATACGTATTACACGCTTCTGGTCTCTTCTCTCTCATACACATTACCTCGTCAGTAATATTTTGATTTCTCTGTATATTGCATAAAGACGGTGAAACTGATGTGTACCTTTTGCACTATTAGCAAATACTGTTGGTATTGTGAAAACTATCAATTTCCAATTCAACTGCTATCTATAGCTGTTCCTGATGTGTGCACCAACGGAGAGCATTTAAAAAAACAACAAATATGTCTTCAGTGAGATGTTTAAATAGTGTCACTTCATATGGCTTGATGTGGCCATTTAAAAAAGAAAGTTCATGTGTTCCCAATTTATTGTCAAAAATAGAATCCTTATAAATTTGTGAATTGGGAATGTGACTTTGTATATATGTAATATGTATACAGTCCTTTAGTACACAATACAAAAGTATACAATAAACACCACCATTCATAAAGTATATGACAGAGCCAATGACAACTATGTCATATGCCATTGGAAGGAAATAAATGCAAGGTGGATTGAGAATGGTGTCAGCACTCACCTAAGCTAAGGTTCCAGGTCACGTCGCACAGGGGTGTGTTCATATTAAACGTCGAGCGTAATGCAAGCCATACACGCTACAGTATCCGGTTATGTTACCTGTGCAAGTAGCAGGCAGATTTACCGCACGTCAGTAGCAAGTTGGACGTTCCGGTGTACCGGGGCAGTTCTTTTCGCGATGGCATCGATCCGAGGACGATGACGCGCTGGCATTAGCAGGCTTTGCGATACATTTTGAAGAAAGAAGATACAAAAATAAAGAACAAGCGAAAAAATGGTGTATTCATTGGTTTTTGGAAAACGAAAACTTAGTCATGTTAACTTATTGAAGGGAGTACCACAACAACGACATGAGCCTCACCATAAGACT